ATGTGTCCAGATATTTGCTTTGCTACTTAGTTAAATTTCTATAATCTTCTAATGCAGGTTTTTGTTCTTAACCTTTTTTGTGTCATTAATTCCTTTGGTTGTCTAATGAATTCTTTGGGCTGCTTCTCAGAATAGTGATTTAACTATATAATAAAATGCAGAGGCCTATAGAGGAAGTCAAGAAATAAACAATATTCTGAAAATACTAAATTTGAGATGGTCACCAATATCTAACTATAGTGGAATATGGAAGTATTTTTGATTGCTACAAGTGACAGAGGTAAAGGTAGATATTAACCAGGACTTTTTCTCCCACATTCATAATTGATGGTAATGCTAGATTTCAGTTAGAGGTTAGTGAAAGTAAAGATGTTACTTTTTTCCCCCAACTGAGTCATAGTCTTCCAGTTTTGTGTTCTAAGATGAGTTGATAATATTCTAGGACCCCATTTTAATTTTAGTTTACTTCTGTTGGAAGCCTGTGATAGGATTCCTTGTAATTTTTATTTATTCCTTGGTTTACATGATATTCAGAAAATAAATATCTATATTGGGTGCATACTTTTGGTACAGAGTGGAGGTAAAAAGGGGAAGGTGAGGAGAAGGGATACCAAATTGAATGAATGAATGTCCCTGCCCATAAGTGTAGCTGGCAAAGTACTTTACTTTTATTTTTAATAAGCCAAGATACATTTTATTGAAATCCAGTGTGGATTTTAGGTCTTTTTAGTTTTGCATTTGTTATGTGTACCTTACAGTTTTCTAAACACTGAGAAAAATCCTGATCTTGCCTGATTATGAATTGCCTGGAGCTGTCACTTAAAATAGAGATTCTCAGGCCCCCTTCCTGGAGAATGTTCCAGGAGGGTAGTGGGTAAATCTGTGTTAACAAATTTACCAGATGGATTCTTATCAGGCAAAACTTAGTAAAGCTTAGCTAGATAATACTTTGGTCCAAACACTTCAATGTATGTGTTAGTCATACTGGTAATTATTTTCATGGGAAGGGGTATGTGTTGCCTTTGTTTCCAGGAAGATTCTTCACTGTACTAGGGTAGCTTTGTAGAAAGGGCAAATATTAGACAATTTTCTTTAAGGAAAGAGGGGTCCGATTTTTATTTCATCTGGCCCATGAATACAGTGTGTCTGATTTGTTAACTTTTTGTGGGTAGTAACATTCATATAAATAGTAACTTCTTTAATATATATAACACCCCACCTTTGGAAATATAAAATTATGTGAAGAAGAGATATATACCCAAAGGTGATAGGCCAGTTTATGACTATAAAAAAGCCCCTGTGTTGAAGGCATTGGGCAAAGTACTTTGCATAAGTACTTCCTCTTCAGGAGGCGGTTGAACAAAGAGTTGAAAAGAGCTACCCTATGAGGGACCTGTTTTGATCCTCATCTTAGAATTGAGGAATCAGAGGCTTAAGAAAGCGAAGAATGAGCCCAAGGTCACAGACTTGGTGAAAGCCAGAATTTGACTCCATGTAGCTCCAGTTGCAAAGCCTATATATGTGGCAGCCAAAACTTTAAAAACAGTTGGAAATTATGCACCATAATCTATCGTGTGTGTGCGTGCGTGCACATGAGTGCGTGCGTGCATACGCACATTCTCGCATGCATTTACGTCATTCTCTGGTGTCTTTTTCCCTCCTTTTGTGTTTGTTTCTTGATCCATCTGGCACTCCTCAAGTGTCAAAACTGAGAAGTGTACTTTTATTTGTTATCTGTTTATATGTTATATATTTATTTTTTTGTAATGGATAACGCAGATAATAGACTTGTATTTCTTTTAAAAGTCATATTGTCATTTTTTTTTTTTTACTTATGAATTTATTACTCTAGGCAATAAAGTTATATCCCATTCAGGATCATAACCATTCAAATAAAAGCAAATCTGATAAAAATACTGTAACTTGTGGTCTTTTTTTAATTTTTTTTAACGTTTATTTATTTTTGAGACAGAGACAGAGCATGAATGGGGAAGGGGCAGAGAGAGAGGGAGACACAGAATCGGAAGCAGGCTCCAGGCTCTGAGCCATCAGCCCAGAGCCCGACGTGGGGCTCGAACTCACGGACCGTGAGATCGTGACCTGAGCTGAAGTCGGACGCTTAACCGACTGAGCCACCCAGGCGCCCCTAACTTGTGGTCTTTTAAGATGACCAGTGCATGGCAGTGGGCAGATATCTGTCAACAGATACTGATTTAGTACTTGCTGGTTGCCTGCACCTGCTAAGCACTATGGAGGATACAAGTAATGTGGTCCCTCACTGACCTTGCAAAGTTGTACTGTGGAGGGGAGGACCTCCTCCTCTCTGCGAGTGGAACTCACAGTGTGGCAGTGAGCGTGGTTAGCAAAGGGAAAACCAGTAGGCGGATGGCAGGAGTCACTTCTGCTGCTGGTCTTTGATCACATCAGGTAAACTTAGTCCACTTTGTATTGGGATAGGGGTCTGTAATAAAGGGGAGAAGCCACTTCAGTCTTCTAATATTCCGGCTGGCAGTACTGTGGAAAGTGGCCTGAGAATGGCAGTCAGTCTGAATTTGGCCGGCTGGTGCACAGAAACTGGTTCCTCATTCTCCCAGGTCTGTAGGGCTCTTTGACTCTCTCCATGCTGTGCAGAAACCTGTTGGGTACCTTGTACAAGAAATTGATGCTGCAGGCAAGAATGGAGTGTGTGGAATGACTGGGACATGGCGTTATTCCTTGGGGTCACAGAAGATGATGTCGCTCCTGCCATTCTCCTCCGCCTTCTCCAGCAGGCATCTGTAACAACTGTCACGTAATGAAACCGGAGCTCTGGAAGGGTCTGTCTGGTCATTTAAGACCAGTTAAGTAGTTTCCCTTCTACTCTCTTCTTTCTCTGTTTATAGATGAAATGCCCTAACACATGTGACCCTCCTTCGCCTCTTCCCTGGCTTCCCCCTGTCTGGGCTAGAGACTGAAAGATGTGTTTTCCTCATTCTTGTGCACTCATCATAGCCGGCCATTTGTGAGCCAGCTGTTGTGGGGACAGCAGCTGCCGGGCAAGGAAGCTGAATGCCAGGCTTTTTTCTAAGGGGAGAATTAGAGCTGCTCCCCGACATAGCACTGGAGGTACCATTGGAGCGCCTGCTGGCCCTTCACATCAATGGGCCATGCAGCTGGGACACCAGTAATAGGAAACCCAACCAAGCTCTGGTAGCTCTTTATTGAGACGTTTGAATATAGCCAGTGTTAGTGTAGGACATGCCCACCTTAGATCCTTGCTGCTGAGTGCAAGCCATGAGTCGTGTAGTAAAACCCACAGGGGTCCATGCAGCTTTGTTTTCAAGGCATCCTGTTACTACTTTTAAATAGTGTTAAGTTAATGTTCTGTTGACCAGTTCAATATATTGTTAAGACAGAAGGCTCTTATTTTCTACCTAACAACAAACATCTTCATTGTTTGCTTTATATATCTGAAGAAAATTCTGTTTAAGCACAGATATTACAGTACGTTACTTTGGATACTTATGGAATGAATGAAACTTGTTTCTTGTAAAGCCAATTATAATTGACCCTTAAATAGCGTGGGTTTGAACTGTGCGGATCCACTTACACGCAGTTTTCTTTCAATAAATACAGTACAGTTGTGTATTTTCTCATGATTTTAACACTTGCTTTTCTTTTTAAGAATTAAATTTAAGAATTTCTATTCTCTTTAAGAATACTGTATATAGTATACAAAATATGCATTAAATGACTTTATGTTATTGGTAAGGCTTCTGGTCAATAGTAATCTTATAGTAGTTAAGTTTTGGGGGGGGTTAAAATTTATATGTGGATTTTTGACTGTATGGGGGTCAGCACCCCTAACCTCCACATTGTTCAAGGCTCAACTGTTTCAATCAAAAAAAAAAAAAAATTGTATCTCAAAAAATGTATTTGTTCTCCTGCGTTAGTGAAGATGAAGTAGGGTAGACTTTTTTTTTTTTAGTGTTTCTTTATTTTTGAGAGAGAGAGAGAGACAGAACATGAGCAAGGGAGGGGCAGAGAGAGAGGGGACACAGAATCTGAAGCAGGCTCCGGGCTCAGCTGTCGGCACAGAGCCCGATGCAGGGTTCGAACCCACAGACCGCGAGATCATGACCTGAGCTGAAGTCAGACACTTAACCTACTGAGCCACCCAGGCACCCCCAAGTAGGGTAAACTTTAATTGAGAGGTTTGACTTAAGGATAAGGTGGGAGAAGTTTAAAAAAATAGAGACAAAAATTACATAAAAGTTTTTTTGGATGGATCTTTGCTGATAACTTGAAAAGACAAATGTTTAATGTCCTCAGGTGGTTTGAACTTAGTAATTCAAATTTGGTGATTTTTGCTTTAAGATATTATAGTAGTTTCCTAGAATCTTGTTAACTTTCTCAAAGGGTAGAAAGGGGGGAAGTGAAAGGGAGTTCCTTATGATTTGACTTGCAACTTGGCATGAAGTTTAAAAAGGATGTTATATGAAGAGCAGGAAGGAAACGATCAGTTCCAATCTGATGGTATTCTTGGTAGCATTGTATGGTATGGGGGAAAAGAAAGTTTGAGGAGAAGTTGGCTTTAGGAGTTGAGATAGCTGTGTTTGATTGGGATGTATACACTTTTAAGAGCCAATTACGTTCTTGACAGAGGCTCTCATTTCACTGTCCACAGGGGCCATTTGCTGGAGTTCTATGGAACAAAGACTGTGTAGATATATTGTATCTAATCATTTGGATAGATATTTGATTTCAGATCCAAGAAAATGAGGCCCAAGAGACCCACCTCAAAAGAGTTTTAATGTTTTATTTATAACACACACATTCAAAAACAAATCAATATTTAGCCCGTGGAATGCTAATGGGTGAAAGCTGCTTTGAATAGGAATTTATGTTTACACTCAAGTGTGTGAACTGTAAACTGTTCCGTTTTGGACTCTGGAGTATGTTTTATGGCTTAATTAACCTTTTTTTTTTTTTTTCCCCTCCCCCTGTAGAACTGGCTAGATCCTGCAAAAGAAATAAAGAGACAGCTACGAAGTGAGTATTTAAATAATCATACTTCCGAGTTCATCTTTATATCTATTTCTGTCTTTAATCAAATTCAGAGGAATGTAGACTGGACTACTAAAATCACGATGGAATGATCAGCTGTATTTTGCATGTATATCATATACAAAGTTGAGGAAACGGTATTTTTCTTGCCTCGTGACTTTATTTTGTGCGTGGCTTCGGGACTCTTCTGGTCTAGAGGTCCTAACCTTCTGGTCCTAAATATTCCCTCACGGTGTCTGTCTACCGCTGTAGACGTTGCTTGTCTGTAACTTTCACTGTTGATGTAAATTTTACTCCAGGCGACCAGTTACCATTGCTTCGTCTGCTTTGTTTTGGAAGTGTGTAATTAGTTTAATTAACAGGCTTGTCTCTGGCCCCAGAGGCGTAGACACGCTCACTGTTCATAGATGTACTGGAGCGCAGACTCGGGGCGGAAAAGCACAGAGAGTCATCTCTTCCATCCTCTGCGGTCACTGCCTTCTCTCCAACGTCGTTCCACCACTCAGGGCCGTGCTGTGTGCTCTTTGAGTCTGGGTTTCGAGTCAGTGCGGCTTGGCCCTTTCTTCCGTTGCCTGTTTGCTGTCATGGCAGCCTCCCAAAGTGACTTTCGGGGTCTCCCCCTCACCAGCTCCAGCTCCCTCCACAGGCCCTGGTCTTGCCTGTGCCTGGCTTTCAGATGTCTGTGCCAGGAGATATCATCACCACAGAAAAGTCTCTGGAGGATTTGGATCCTTAGTTGACTTCCGGGCGGGTGGATGACCAAGGCAGAAAAGGCAGAGGGCCATGAACAGCTGGAATTTTCAGACAGGAGAACAGGATTCTCAGCAGCCCTTCTGGACCGGGGGCCCCCAGAGCTGTCATGGGAGAAAGCGTTTCCCTGAGCGCCGGCCTCCCCAGAGTAGGCTGTTTGCTTTCCTCCCCCTACTTACTCTTCCTGGCATCAACACACCAGAACAAATCTGTGCGTTTCCCTTATGTTCCTTACCATCTATCTTCTCTCACTTTAGGCACTCCACATCAGTTTTCTTTTTCCCTGAAATCATTAATCTTTTCGGTAGTTTTCCTATCCTTTCTTCCCTTCTCTGCTCCTGTTTGAAATTCTGAGCCTCTACCTTATTTTGCCCATTTCTTCTCCTTGAAGACTCCTCTTTTCCTTCAGGGGAAAAAAAAAAAAAATTTTTTTTGAAGAGAATGACCTTCCTGATTTGCCCTGGACAGGGGTCTCTCAGGATGTCAGACTTACAGTGCTAAAACTCAAACCAGTCCCAAGTAAGCTGGAATGGTTGGTCACTCTGTCTCTTGACTATTGTCCCTGGCTTTCCAGCAGCCCTCCTCTTTCCCCTTGCATTTATTATCTGGGTGTTGCATCTATTTATACTTGCTTCATAATGGAAAAGGGGAGGAAAAAAATGGTTAGACACAGAAATGTTATGTTTACAGTTGCTTCCACGGTGTATCAGAGAGCCTTGGCACTTTTCCCTTGTCTTTTGTATGGTTGACCTACACTACTGTAGAGTGCGTGAATTCAGAAAGGTACGGATGCCTGGTTCTTTCACTTTATCTGAAACCAGAGCTTCCAAGTGACCCAAACCATAGAATAGGATAACCGCTGAAACCTGATTGATGGTCCATTGAGTTGTTTCCTATAGTTTTGTTTTGGCTTTTGTTTGATTATGTTCGTATGCCATTCGTTTCAGAGCCATGGAGGTTGCTGATTTTTGGAAGGCAAGACTCCTGCTGATTATGAATCATGGTCTTGTGTTTTGATGGTTTCTGAAGGTTTTTTTAGAGTTATTCAGGACTTTTGCCCTTGTGGTTTGGCAAGAGGGATAACAGTAACAAGTAGGATCTGGCTTTCTCAGATGATTTGGAGCTAGTTTCTAAATGGAATCCTGTCCTGTCCTGATGGTGCAAGTAGGCTGGAAACATGAAGTCTTAGCTTTTGCCTTGACCTCTTCCTTTCTGCTTGTGTTAAAGTGGACGAAAGAACTGCATGTTTTATCTTCACACCCAGCCAATGCCAGGCTTTTATTGTTACTTTTCAGTTAATGGGCAATTAGCAAAGGTAAACATTAATCTTTTTTTCAGTTACTTTTGAAAACCAACATCCTATTGGTTCCTGTTTAAAATTTGCCTTGAAATTTTCTTCAGATGTACACAAATCAGACTATATATATGAGACCTGCATGTGATTGCTATATACATGATCCATAGACTGTTCATGTATAGCTAGGTAAAAAAAAAAATATATATATTTTTTTTATTTTTTTTTTTTTTTTAATTTTCTGTTTTTATTTAAGTAGGCTTCACACCCATGCAGAGCCCAACATGGGGCTTGAACTCACGACCCTGACATCGGGACCTGAGCTGAGATCAGGAGTCAGACACTTAACCACCTGAGCCATCCAGGCACCCCAAGTTTAGCATTTTTTTTTAACTTATTTATTTTTGAGAGAGTAAGTGAGCCTGAGCAGGGGAGGGAGAGAGGGAGAGAGAGAGAATCTTAAGCAGATACCATGGTTAGCATGGAGCCCTACTTGAGGCTTGATCCCACAAGTGTGGGATCATGACCTGAGCTGAAATCAAGAGTTGGATTCTCAACTGACTGAGTCACCCAGGCACCCCTAAAGTATAGCATTACTAGGGCTAAAATATAAGTGTTCTATTAGAAACTCATCCCTATAGTCCTATCCAGGCAAGCACGTGCTCTTGTTAATTAATACCTAGAAAACAAAAAATAAGGATCCATTAGGAAGTGATAATCCTATGGTGACTTAGCTTAATTATAGGTTAGCAGCCCCCTGAAGAAGTGCATATTCCCGCCCAGCATGGCACTATATATAGGACAGGGAATTCTCACTCTTCAGGAAAGTCCTATATCCCATTTATGTTATTTTATTGTGTTTTTGTTTTGTTTTGTTTTTATTTATTCAAAGGCGTTTTAAAATGTTTTTTATTTTTTGAGAGAGATAGAACAAGCACGTGTACAAGAAGGGGAGAGGCAGAGAGACGGGGACAGAGGATCTTAAGCAGGCTCCACACTGACAGCAGCGAGCCTGATGCGGTGCTTGAACCCACGAACTGTGAGATCATGACCTGAGCTGAAGTCGGATGCTCAACCCACTGAGCCACCCAGGCGCCCCTATGATATTTTAAATGTGTGACACAGAACTGAAATTCAGGATTGGCTTTGGAAGCGGAATGGTGAGGCACTGAACCTAAATCCAATACAGGTGCACGTGTGTTCTTAGCAGCCATTCCACACATACGGGTTGACTTCTGAGAGAGGAGTTAGGGTACTCATGGCGAGAAGAGAACAAAAGGACATGCTGGAAAAGAGAATGGGATTCAGTAAAATTTTCTTCAAGTCCCTGAAATAAAGCAACCATGAGGCCTTCAAATGTGGTTGGAATGAAATACCATGAACATACTTTGTTTCTATTTAGAAATACTAGGAACTTTGAGCATAACCCTGAATTCTGGCCAGTGGATTTATTTGGATCCATTTAGGAAAATAATACTTGCCCTCTGCCCAGAGTTGTGTGTTTTTTTCTTTCTTTTCTTTAAAGCTATCCAAAGTATGACATATCAAACATCAGTTAAACATTAGTGCAGAGATAGAAATGTTTTAACTTTTAATAAGTCATTTCTGATGGTGGTTATATTCACTTCTGTGGCACAATGCAGCCCAAGCATATGCTCTATAGGAGTATGCTTACACCTACTCTATAAACCTGGGAATAATTTTATTGTCTTAAAGTATTGTGATGTTTGGGGTGCCTGTGTGGCTCAGTCAAATGAGTGTCTATCCGACTCTTGATTTCAGCTTAGGTCATGATTTTACGGGTGAATTCGAGCTCCGCGTCGGGCTCTGTGCTGATAGTGAGGGCCTGCTTGGGATTCTCTCTCTCCCTCTCTGCTTCTCTCTTTCTCTCTGCCCCTCCCTCCTCAAAATAAATAAATAAACACTATTAAAAAGTATTGTGTGGGCACCTAAGTGGCTCGGTTGAGTGTCCAACTCTTGGTTTTGGCTCATGATCTCATGGTTTGTGGGTTCAAGCCCCACATCAGGCTCTGCTTGGGATTCTCTCTTTCCCTCTCTCTCTGTCCCTCCCTTACTCTCTCTGTCTGAAAATAAATAAACTTAAAAAAAATAAATAAAAATAAAGTATTGTGATGTTTTACTACTCCCTTCTTTGAGATTTCGTTATGGGATTAAGAGACCATTAATCAGTTTCTTGAATAGCTATAGTGATCAGTTGATCATTATCTCCCTTCTGTCAACAATGTGTAAATCCTAAAATACTTTTTTTTTTTTCTCTTTAAACAGTAGGAGATATTTGGCATCTGGAGAGTCTATGGTTAAAACAAATCTTATTTCAGAATGATTACATATAGGTTATTGAAATTTTTGCATAATATATCACCATACAAAACATTGAAAGTATTAGTAAGTGTTTATTTAAAAAAAGGGAATCTGTTTTTCTTTCATAGTGGGTTATTTGTATAATTTTTATATTTTGTTTTGTTTTTGTAAATTGTTTTCTCAAAATCAAACAATGAAACTCTCCGAACTGAAATATAGTGGAAGTAGTATGTGCTGTTTGAACATTAACCTTTAATTTTTATCAAAATAAGTGGTCATTCTGCTGGTTGGGTAAATACCCACATTTAATAATTACAGATCCTCCTTGGCTGTTCACCTTTAATGTGAAGTTTTATCCTCCTGATCCTTCTCAGTTGACTGAAGATATCACCAGGTACTTTATACTTACATTTTAAAACAAATTTTTACTTAGAGCTTTCATTTATCTCTGTGCCCTGAGAGAATAATGGTAATTTCAGGATTAAAGCCAAAATATTTTTTCATAAGTTGAATTCTAGAAAGTTCCTTGGAAATGAGTGTACTCCAAAATGGTTGGAAATGTTTCTAGTTTCAAAATTTTTTTTTTACTTTAAATTCTCCATTTATAGTTGAGTAATAGAATATTAAAAAAATTATATTGCTGGCAACTTTCTTACGTTACACTTACAAAAATCATTGATATTTAATATTTCAGATTAATACTAAAATGGTTTTTTGTTGTATAACCCTTGTGTACCTGTGTGCTAGTCTCCTATCACAAAGGTGATATAGGGTAGAAAAATGAAATTACTTAAAAAGCCAATTGAACTATATTTCCAGGGGCCTCCTGTTTCAAAGTAGAAAAAAAAAAACTAATAAGGTAGGCTTTCTTAGCCAATAGCTGTTTCATTTCCATCTCCTTTGAGATTGTCTGGGCCATACAAACATACACTTAAGTTGCAAATAAAAGATTCAGTTGAGGAGCAAGGGAGCATTTACTGATTCTGAGAGTGCCTGAGTGTTTGAATAGTAACCAAGGAGCATTTGAGTCCACAAGTGCCTTGGTATATTAGCCCTATTCAGCTGGGTTACCAGTGATAGGACTTATTAGCTTTGGTGAGAATAAGTGCATATGTTACATGGCCAAGGAGAAGTGTGTTCAGAATATACTTTTTGAACACCAGAGGTCTTGCTGAAAGACTGCTTTTGATTCATTCCTGTGGTTCCTGAGCCCTTGATGCTTTCTGCTAGGCCAGTTTTGGCAGACATCAGGTTGTGTTGGTGCTTAAGAGTGCATGATACCCACGTGGAGATTTCTTTCCAAGATGGAGTAAATAACAAGCCTTCCCCACTGCCCCTAACCAACACCCCCCCATCCCCACCCCGCCTTTGCTACTTGTTGCTAAATGGCGGTCTTCTGATAGTAAGCTGTGGTTGAATTAACTTCAGCTAGTAAATAGTAAAGGTAAGCTTTTGTAACTGCACCTCAAGCTGCTTTGGAGCATAAAACCGGATAGGTTGGTTGCTCTGGATACACAGCCTCACCACAGGAATGCCTTCGAACATTGCAGTTGGGGCTTGTGCCCTAGCACCCTCTCTCTACACACACTTCTTGGAGTAATTTGTTCGGGAGATGATAATCCTCTGGTAATTGCGACTTATGGTATCGGTAAGTGCTTTGGTTTTTCCTGTAAATGGGGCTTGAATAGTCTCGCCGTGTGTGATGAGAGAAAGGAGATAGTTTGGTGAGCTAAACACTAAAAGCCTCGGCAGGCAGCCTGACACCAGCCACCTGCTTGGACTGGTGGCCTAAGTATCATGAGTGAAATCTTCACTATGACTTGAGTGAAAACTTAAGATGAGGTGGCTTTTGAGGAGTGCAAGAGTGGTGTTTGCAGAAGTGTTGCAGTGTTCAGGATAGTGTTTGAGAACGCTGGCTCCTGCTATGTGAAGAGGGAGCTGGGAAATTCAGGAACCTGTTGGAGTTTTTGTTGGAAGGTTTTGGGCTTTCGACTTCTCTTTGAAAACAGGACAGGACCAATGTGAAAAGTCGAGACCATAGTCTCAAACGGAACAACAAGATCTGAGTAGTAGGTGGAAAATCTGGGTGTTTAGGTCTTCAAAGTGTCACGAAATGTGGAGAACTGGCACGGTTCTCAGTCAGACTTAGAGAATCAGAGGATATCCTGGAATCCTAGTTTAAAATGGACTTTTCTAAAGTAATGCAGTTCTGCTTGTGGCGTTCCAGGGACCAAAGGAACATAATCCTCCTTAGAGAGCTCCTGCGGTGCATAAAAATCCTCAGACCGTAGTGCCAGAGAGATGACTTCCCTTCTGCCAGAAGATCTTGGAGCACTTGCTACGTGGCAAGTTCTTGGCTAACTGTGCCCCACGCTTGGCAAAGAGACAAAGTGGCCAGCTGCTAATGGGAATGGCAGTGTCGAAAAGGTCTTCAAGAGTGAGGGGCTGTTTAGTTTGCAGGGATTGATGGTAATCTCATTAGCAAGTAGTTGAAGTCACGAGTAGAAATCAGGTTTTCAAATGTCAGCAAAGGAGCTGGTAGTGCCCCCCGACCCCAGATCCTCATAGAATGTAAATAACATGGTTCCGCACGTCATCTAGTGGAAATGGAAACTTTTATAAGTAACTGTAGTAAAACCACTTGAAACATTGAATAAGAACTATTTAATAAGTTAATAACATAATTATGATGATGATGATGATGATGATGTCTATTAGTTACTGACTCCTAGGTAACATGCGGTATGTTTTGATTATGTTATCTAATTCGTATCCTCTCCTTCAAAGGGCGGAAGAATTCTCATTTGACAAGTAGGGAATTAACCTTAGACGAGCAGATTCACTAGCTCAAGGTTGCACAGAGTCAGCTGTGCCTGGCCCAGAAGCTCATGCTTTTTCTGTTAGAAATTGAACTGTCTCTGTAGATGGAGTAAATGGGCAAGTGTAAGGGCTTTAAAGACTTACAGTTGTTCAAGGCGTCTGAGGAATAGAAGAAATTGGTATGAAAAGGCTAGAAAGAATAAAGCGTGGGTGACCTTAGCTCTTCTTGCAAATGCTTAAGAACTGCAGGTGTTTTTAAGTTTTCATTAGTCTTTGCAACTTTTGAGGGACATGTAAATTTCGATGCCAGTTTTAAATCCACGGAGACAAGTCCAAGTGATTACGATTTTTATCTTCAGTCACAAAGCTCTTGATGATGATGATGATGATGATGATGATGATGATGATGATAAATACACTGTGACCAGAATAGCAGTTCAGAATTCCCATGGGTTAGGAGCCCAAGAAACAAGGTGGACTTCTTATTAGAGAAGACGATTTTTGCTGTGGACATAAGGCATTGCCTTCTCGTCTGTTTTCAGAGGAATACTGGAACTCAAAGATCATTGGTGCTGCATCCTAACGGATTTCTTCCTGGCCCTCCTCTCCCCCTTGCCCCTCAGATACTTCTTGTGCCTTCAGCTCCGGCAGGACATTGCCTCCGGCCGCCTGCCCTGCTCATTTGTGACTCATGCCCTCCTGGGATCCTACACGCTGCAGGCTGAACTTGGGGACTATGATCCAGAAGAACATGGCAGCAGTGACCTCAGTGACTTCCAGTTTGCCCCCACACAGACGAAGGAGCTGGAAGAGAAGGTGGCAGAGCTGCATAAAACCCACAGGTCTGGTGACTTGCTTGCTGGGGAGAGAATAGCCACAGGGGATTGAAACAGCTCCTCTTCTGACACTTGCCAGACATCTGAGCACTGTTTACGGGATTATCTAGTGTTTCCTTTTGGAGCCTCACCTAGTATTAAATGAGACAACCTGTAGCCTTGAGATCGCCTTTCGTTGTGTTCACAACTATAACGTGAACAACAGTGCTCATGATCCTGAATGTTTTCATTTATTGGAAAAAGTTACTTCTCCCTGTGACATCTCCCTCTTCCTCCCTCCGAACCTGGGCACATAAAACAGACATACTCCCATACTTGTTTGGGCACTTAATACGTATTTCTTCTGCCCACCTCCTCCCCCCTTTTTTTAAATTTTATTTTATAGCAGGGAAGAGGGGCAGAGGAGGGGAGAGACAGAAAATCTTAAGCAGGCTCCATGCTCAGTGTAGAGCTCAATGCGGGGCTCAATTCCGCAACCCTGGCGTCATGACCTAAGCCAAACTCAAGAACTGGACTCTCAACCAACTGAGCCACCCAGGCGCCGCCTGCCTTTTGTTTTTTATCCGATAAAGCTAGAGGGCTAGGCTTCTGGGTTTGAATCAGAAGTGTAGGTAGTGATGGACATGAAATATATAGGTGGTTTCTCTATCCACAAGATGAGTTTTGCTTTTAGTAGCTAAACTTTACTGATTTACTCAGTACCGTATTAAGTACCATATTACGCTTTGAGAACTTCTATATCTTTGTGAAAATAAATGTGTTTTTAGCCCAAGTTGACAAACTCTCGCTACAAAATTACAACCCATATTGCAACATTGAGATTTTATAAGAGTTCGACAAAAATGTTTGGAAGGGAACTTTGAAAGATTAGAGGTTTTTAAACAGGCCACATTCATTAGCTTTTTTGTAAAAAAAAAACAAAACAAAACGGTATTTCTTATATTCACTTTCACTTTATTCCGGTTCTTCTCCATAGGTATTTATTGTATAATTTGAATTTGAAATATCAGGTGCTGAAATTCTTTGGGGATTATGAAGATGGACGGGACACAGTCCTGCTCTCTTAGAGCCTAAAATTTGTTGACTTGTGAATAGAGACAGGAATGGAAATAGTTATGGACCGGGTGTGAGCTGCATTATCTACCATAGGTGTAAAGTCAAATACAGGGACTTCTGATCTGTGTTGTGATCAATCCTGCCGAAATAAAATTAAGGAGTGGGAAGTAAGAATTTGCCATTTTGGGAAAGATGAAATCACTGTTTTATTCTCATGGAATTTATGTTGTACCCGTTTCCCCACTGGGAAAACCATCGAAAACAATTCTCTGAGATAGAAAGGAAGGGTAGAGATTTAGAGTAGAGGATCCTATGAGGAAACTTCTAGAGGTTGAGAGTTGAGCCTTCTTACCTGTTCCCTGCTTATCTGTAAATTGTGCGGGGTTAACTGCTCTACCCTAAACCCTCCAAGCTCATACACTCCTTTCCTATCTGGGCCACGTTTGCTTTGCAGCTGCCAATAAAATAATATTGTTTCGTTTGATCCTCAGGGGCTTATCTCCAGCACAAGCTGATTCTCAGTTCTTAGAAAATGCAAAGAGGCTCTCCATGTATGGCGTTGACCTACATCATGCCAAGGTACTGTCAATGTAATGGGAAGTGGCATCTTTCCAGTCTGTTGATGGTTTTGAAAGGGCTCCAGTTTCACAGTGGCCTAGCTCACTTTTAGGAAAAGGCTATTCACCCTCACCCAAGGGTCTCTATAATATTTCTTTAGTGACTAACTGTGGGGTTTGTGCTTATGGAAAGGAGCATTCCTTCTCTCCTCTGCCCCCTTACTTCTTTCTCAATCTTTTCAATTAACACCCTTTCATATGGACTCACCTTGAGACTCACCTGTCAAGCGGGGGCGGCCGGGCGCCCCCCCGTCCTGGTTTCTTCTGCATCCCCACCTTTTGCTGTGCCAGGTGATGCCTCTCCCCACCCCTTCTCCCATCCCTGTCTTGGGAGTGGATTGCAGATCCAAAGAAAGGGCCAGTGCAGTGTGGATGGGACCGCTTCTGAAAAACCCTCTGGCTAATGAAGGAGCCTGAGGGTCAGGCTCCTCTCTGCGGGCCTGTTTTGTACCATTCACAAGATGAAAGAGACTGGCCCAGGCCCCAGGGGATGCAACCCCCGCAGCCTAATTGGAGAGGTGGGAAGAGGGCAGAATAATGGACTAGGTGATAGGAGAGAGGGTTTGGGTTGGGAAGATGCCACTAATAAACATTATGTGCTTCCTGACACTACTTCGGGTGATCACACAGTGAGGAGAGTCAAGGAGGAGAGTAAGAGGTAAGGTGAAAGATGGGTGTGGTTTTGAAAAGTGTGTCCAGGGTCCACATGCGGAGGGAACCAGCGGTTCCCTAGATGGATGGGGCCTAGGAACCTCGGATTTTATGATTGGAGAAATCTCTTGGAAAGCCCCTCCATCCAAAGATCTCTTCCCTCCCTGGGCCTTGGGTGAATCATCCCTGCTTCGTACTTGCATAGTACTTCATGTTTGCACCGCTCTCTTTTTTTCCTCCGTGGCTGCCTTTATTCGACTGTTTTTCCTGGTTACAAAAGACCTACATATACATCATAGAAAATAGAAGCAAACAGAAGGAAAAAAACAAAAACCGCTGAACTCTCTTTATTTGGAAATAGGCACTGTTGCTTTTTTGATACGTTTTCTTGTTTTCTTTAAAACAAAAAACATCTCTGAGCACTAGAACTCGTGCATTTTTTTTCAGTAGGATCACACTATAGGTGTCAGTTTGTGAGGAATTTTTTGTTGTTTGTTTTGTTGCTTGCTCTGATGAAAGATTTTTCCACGTCAGTAAATAGTCTCTGACATCATTTTTAACTGCTGGGTGCTATACACTTTTAATTCTTACAGGTCCTTCCATGTGCTTTTTTAAGATTTAAGACTTGACTGTTTTTATTTACAACTGCATAAAACAGAGTGCAGAGAATGATTTGCCTAAGCCACGTGTTGTTAAGCATTCCCATATCTGCCTCGTTTCTTCTGGTAAATTCTAGGAGGTGAAATGGGACTTCCTACCATTGCGTGTTTTTCAGCTTGTTTCTCTGTGATGGAGACGGGCTGGCTCGGCCGAGAAATCCAAACCGGGGAGGCAGGAGAAGAATGGGTTTGGGACCAAAGAGACCTCAGGTCTCTGCTCTTCTAAACCCTGTTACTCTGGCCACATGCAAATCTACATGTTGATCGCTAGTTAGAAACCAATTCTTAGATGGCAGTACTACAAGGTTTCACAGTTCTCGTTTTCAAAATTGTACCTTAGAAAAGTAAAAAAGTTGTGGGTCTGTTTAAGCGTAGTTTCTGTTCCTGGTGTGTGATTAGAAGCAGATTGCTTTTTGAAAAAAATTCAGAGTAACCTTCATCTCTTCATCCTGTTTGTCATCTGATACACTCCGATGATATTTGATAAGGAAGATGTTTGTCGGTTGTTGCAAAGAAAGTCTGTAGCAATTTAAAAGAACTTTTCATCAAAGTTTCATCTTTGTTGTCTTGATCATATTTAAGTACGTCTTTAAAATTTTTTTACTAAGAGCTTTTCATGGCACACTGCTATTAGGACAAGTTGAAGAGCATTGAATGGAAGTACTCTTGACACGCAGGTACAGGGGAACCCCAAGATTAGTGTGATAGCTCTGAGCTCTTACCAGCCGCTCTCCCAACTCCTCTGGGTCTGAAGGGGTGAGGGCAGAGAGTGGTTGCCAGAACCCAGAAGGAGAGATCTGTGTGTGGAGAACACTGTCTTCAAGGGAGCCACAATTGTCACAAGGACACCTCGCTGACCTCCCTTCCTTTCTCTCTCTCATCTTCTGCAAGAGCTTCCCAAGACTGAACCCATTTAGAAGTCCGAGGGCTTGGGATCCCTATTGCCACCCATATGTGGCAGCTTCCTCAGGGGGAGTGAATAAGGGACAGAAGGTGCTCCTTTTTTATTAGTTTATTTTTTCTGACTTAGTTGCTGAATGGCAGAAGTCAAATATGGAGGACCAAGGCATGCTTTTTCTCTTTCACTTGTTACTCTTCATCTGTAATTTGTATTCACACAGATACTGAGAATTCTGAAGCAATGTGTGCAACAACTGAAAATGAACCGATTTACTTGGTTCCAGATTGTGTTTATTCTTAAATCCGATAAAATAGCTCCAGTGTCCTGCCTAAAGATTGCTTCAGACTAGAGATGACTTTGTTCAGTGTTTCAAGTCTGCGTTGCCTCCTTACTTGTGGTGAGAACATACTGTCTTGGGCAGCCTTCCGGCTTGCTCCTGTGGCCATGGCCATGATGTTTCTGGAAAACAACATTTCTGTCTGGTGCCAAGTTGCTTGGGCACCTGTGCTGGATTCATCCCAGCTTTTTTTCTCTGTTCCTAGAGAGAATTGGGGCTGCCAGATTTGGGTGAATAAAGCACCCTATAGATTAAATTTTTAAACCTGCTGGGATTGTCTAATGTCATTTTACCTGTACATATGAATTATTCAAGTGTGGCAGCAGAGAAAGCAATTGGCATCAGTGACTTAGTACTATACTTCTATTTTTAAAAAAGTAATATGACTTGTTCTAGATGATTCAGTAACAAGGTAGTCGAAATGTTGCATTCTCGTTGAATTGAGACTTAGATTAAATATGGTGTTTGTTTCAGCAGGCTTGGTGAGAATTTGTTCCGTATCATAAGTGATTTCTGAAAATATGAATGTCTCTGAATAATGTTTTCAATTTTATATGTCGTGAATGCGATCCAGTTCTTCCCTTGAAAGTCAGTGATCTGTGTATTTTGAGTATTGGGTCCTCAATATTACTTGAAATGTGAGGAGACACTATGTCACTTTTATCTGTAAATTTATTTGGTTTTTAAAAATCCTTTAGGCTTGTGATTATTGTAAATTGTCATCTATTCCAAGTTAAAATGCTGGGGAGGGAAAACAGTTTGAGTAAATTCAAGACTAGTTTGCAGTCCATTGAAATGCCAGCCATGGGAATGCTATAACGGGGACTGGATGTCAGCACTCTGAGTTATTGAAAAATTACTCGGAAGAATTCAGAGATTCAAAGAGAAATTTTCTGTGAGGGATTGGTGTTTTGCCGAATAGAGGCGTGATTTTAACAGCCATTAGTTAGCATAGCCCATCTGAAATAAATTTGCCTAAAGTAAAATGTCTGAATGCACCTTAAGTTGGGCTGACAGGGTGTCCCCAAGGACTGGGATAGTCTCCAGGAAAACCCTATCTCTTCAGGATGTCTAAACTGAGCTCTCTTTCCCTTTTTCCCCAGCAGCTCTTGCAGGCAAGCTTGGGAACACAGAAATTATGCCTTTTGGAGAATATTGTGTCCTGTAGTCAGGTGGCTATAACTCTTTGACAAATCTAATTTTGATCCTAGGAGATAAGAGATTGAAGATGTGTTACGTGCCCTGTTTCTATTAACTCACATACTGTCACTGATATTTAAATACCAACCTGTTAAATTGGCGTTCCGGGTCATGGTTTAAGGGGGTGGGGGGAGATGATGAGCTTCCCGACCCATGAAACTTGGACAGCTCTAACCACGGTCAAATGGCTTCTACTTGGCAGGACTCGGAAGGCGTGGACATCAAGCTGGGTGTGTGCGCTAACGGGCTTCTCATTTACAAAGACAGACTGAGAATCAATCGTTTTGCTTGGCCGAAAATCTTGAAAATTTCCTATAAGCGCAGTAACTTCTACATTAAAGTTAGGCCAGCAGAGGTAAGCAGTGTCACGTAGGCCTGGGCATATCTAAACAGCTTCGGTCAGTGTTCTTCTTTATGGCTGTCAGCTGACTTCATTTTTTTCCCAGTGAATTTTAATAAAATGCACTATTCCTTATTTTTTCATGGCAAATAAGGTCAGAGTTCTTAATAATCAACCTGCATGTATATCCATGTTGCTAAAAAAGTAAGAGCTACACCTTTAACAGAAAAGAGAAAGTTGTAAGTGCCTGCTACATAGTGGGGGCCCGTTTTGTTGTTGTTGAATCAACTAAGTGATAAGGTGGTAGGGTGAGTTGTGGACATTGCTTAAAGTCAGCAGTTGCACTTGGTTTTCACAGAAACTAGTATTGAGTTCTATGAAAAATCCATTCTGTATAATCATACTGGATATACATACTAGTATCTCCTTTCTTCAAGAAGAATTACCCCTCACGGAAACATCTGAATTCATGATTTCAGTAGCTTCTAATCAGCTCCTTTATCTTACTGATTTACCTTATTGATTTATTCTAGCTCGAACAATTTGAGAGCACCATTGGATTCAAACTGCCAAACCATCGGGCAGCAAAAAGGCTATGGAAAGTGTGCGTGGAACATCATACTTTCTACAGGTAATTTTAATGATACAGCTTAGACTTAATGAGAACAGCTATTGGTACCCTGTACGTATTAAGTGGTGGTTGTGGATACAGGGGCAGATGTGGCAACACCCTATTTTATGATTCTTTGCTTCTCCTCGGTGCCAGATCTCCTTGGCTGTGCCTCGTTGTCACTCACAGCTGGTCTGTTTCTACAGTGGTCCCGGACTTCCACTTTCTGACTACAAATGCCTTCCCTTCTAGAAGCGCATTCTTCAAATCCAACTGCCATTCTCTGGCCAGCATCGTTCACCATTGGCTTCATTTTGTTGTTCTTACCAGCTCTCTCCTGTTTAATTTCTTTCCCCAGCCAGCCAAAACCCTGGGGTCTGTCCCTTTGTTACTTTGTCGGGAGGTTCTAACCACTTGCCTTTTGTGCCCATCAGCCTGCTGGTCTCTGTGTCTCGACCTCCCCACTTCTATACCAGTGCTGTAGAGCTCTGCCTTAAACAGCACAGCTGTCCCGATGGACGCACTCGCTTTTTGTAAGGGAAAATTGCACAACTCCAGATTAGTGCCTTTACAGATAGATTATTTCTTGTGTCAGCTGGACCCTCAGAGCTACCAGGCAGTGCTTTTACCTCCTTTCCTGTTAAAATATTCCTGGTCTTCTGGAGCCCCTGGGAACCCCGGCCTCTCTGCTCAGATGCCCTCTGCTGGGTGGGGCACTGATTGTAGAAGCTGTAGTCATGAGCATTCTCGGTTTCCTGTACCGTTTTTCAAAACTCTTTAGCCCCAGATTATGTAGCATTCCGCTCTTCTTCTTGTTCATTCTTCCCTTCCTGTTCTGTCTCAAGGGAAAAAATAGTCATTCCCTATGGAAGTCTTGATCCTTCATTTGATTCCTCACATAGGATCGTGCTTTGTATGTTATGTATGTCAAAGGTACGAATGCCTTTGACTTCCTCTTTGGCCGGCAAACATGTCCATATCGTGTTCCTTTAAAAACCAACACAGGGGGGGCGCCTGGGTGGCCCAGTCGGTTAAGTGGCTGACTTCGGCTCCGGTCATGATCTCGCGGTCTGTGAGTTCGAGCCCCGCGTCAGGCTCTGTGTCTCCCTCTCTCTCTCTGACCCTCCCCCATTCATGCTCTGTCTCTCTCTGTCTCAAAAATAAATAAACGTTAAAAACAAAAAATTAAAAAAAAAAAAAAAAACCAACACAGGGGCGCCTGGGTGGCTCAGCTGGTTAAGCATCCGACTTCGGCTCAGGTCATGATCTCACAATCCATGAGTTCGAGCCCCGCGTCGGGCTCTGTGTTGACAGCTCAGAGCCTGGAGCCTATTTCAGATTCTGTGTCTCCCTCTCTCTCTCTGACCCTCTCCCGTTCATGCTGTCTCTCCCTGTCTCATAAATACATACATACATACATACATACATACATACATACATACATACCAACCAACACAAATGGACAAGTGAGAAAACCAGATCTCCTTAGACCCCCTAACTGTCTTTAGCTTGGGTCCCACCTCCTTTGTACTTCTTCAAGGGCGTATTTCTACATTACTCTTCTTGTTCCTTTTTTTTTTTTAATGTTTATTTTTGAGAGTGCATAAGCAGGGAAGGAACAGAGAGGGGCGAACAGAGGATCTGATGAAGGCTCTGCACTGACAGCAGAGAGCCTGACACGGGGCTCAAACTCACGAACCGTGAGATCATGACCTGAGCTGAAGTCTGACACTTAGCTGACTGAGTCACCCAGGCGCCCCTCTATGTTACTCTTGTTAGCAAGGAGAACTTTGCTGATCATTTTTTCCCCATTTCCTCCGCCCTGTTCCTGCAGTCTATACAGCTACGTGTCTAGACCCTTCATCTTTACAGTTTTTGCTTTGGGCTCTTGCTTTGCTACCACATACTGGGTGTGTGACTGTGGGTAAGTTACCACCTTCCTGAGTCTCCCTTTCATCATCTGTGTGATGGTAATAATAGTCCCTACCTTATAGGGTTGCTTTGAAAAGCCCGTGAGAAAACACACATGGAACACATGTAGAACTACTTCCGGTATGTAATAACGTTTATCATCATCATCCCCATCATTATCATCCTTATTCTTGGTTTGGTACCACAGTGTGCTGTTTTTAAGGTGAATTAATAGGTGGTACAAGTGACTCTTTCCGGTTAAATAGAGCAGTCTTGACAACAGATATGTTGTCAAACAGACTCGTTTTAGAGAAATGTAACTCCTAAAATATACTTGAATCCATCTGACACAGTTACACTGGTCACATAAATCTTTGAAAAGCTTATAATTCCTCCTGGTAGCCATGGCACATTTCTACTCCAGACAACCGGAGTCTGCCTCAAATAAAACTAGTAGATGACATTAATGAGCTAAATGACACAGTCAAGGCAGGACACATAGCAGGCTTCCCTGTCAGGTAATGATAATGGAGACAGTAATTGTCTCAGAAACGACACGTGCTGTGTTCATTGAGCAAATATTGTTGTCAGACACAGAACCACTTGCTTTACATTGTACCGTGTCATTTATTCCTCACCCCCAGGGAGAAAGTGGCTCAGAGCTGGGTGCCCAGTAAGGAGCACAGGGGCCAAGCACCTGCACAGAGTTGGGGACCTGGCTCTGTGATTCCAGAGCCCACACTGGTCACCTCTATGCTGGTCCTTCCTCTGGTATTCTTCTTTTTTATTTATCATTAAGTTTGTTAAATGTTTGTTTATTTTTGAGAGAGCAAGTGCCCAAGGGAGGGGCCGAGAGGGAGGGGGACAGAGGATCCGAAGCAGGTTCTGGGCTGACAGTGGAGAGCCCAACATGGGGCTCGAACTCATGAACTGTGAGATCATGGTTCAAAGTCAGACACTTAACCCACTTGAGCCATCCGGGCGCCCCCCTCTCTGGTATCCTTGCAGCAGGGGTTTCTGAGGGTCTGTTAGCCGTGCGACGCCTCAGGTCCCTCCCTCCATTTTTGCTGACATACCACGACTCTGGTTTAAAAGTAGACCAGTTTGCACCTGCAGACTTTGGAGATAATGGTTAACAAAAGCATTTTTATATCTTTAAACTTATGTAACTTTGCTTACACATGATAGGAAGCAATGTATCTAAAACAGGGCAAATCATAATTTGCCTATAGAGTGCCTCGAATCAAATCTGGATTTTGTTCTGTTTGAGTTTATCACAAAAGATGCAAATGATTTCTTTAGAAAACTAAACTGGCTTCAGATTGAAGCCATTAAAAAAACCAGATCTTTCTATTGATTGATAGCCACTCAGCCAGACTAATGTTAGTAGCACAAGAACGTGATAAAAAGTCGCTATTCCTCCTTGAGTGTTTGATAGAGCCTGTCTCTAGTGCTTTACATAGATTAATTATTTTAATATGTACATTGTTGTAATCTTCACTTTACACTCAGAAAAGCTGAGAAACAGAAGTTAAGAAACATGACTGTGTCCCTGTAGACAGTCACGGGTGGAGATGGAAGTCCGAGCCAAGCCCTGTGGCTCTCAGTGCCCATAAGTGTTCCCACTCTGCTGTACTTCCTGGTTGTGTTTACAGTGGACATGTTTCCTTCTTTTTTTTTTTTTTGTTTTGTTTTTGTTTTTGTTTTGTTTTTCCCTCAGTGCTTTGTGGTGGTGGTGGTGGTGGTAGAGGTGGCGGCGTGTCAACAGGATTAACACGAGGTTCTTGCAGCTTGGCATTAAACTCGCATTTAAACTTGGCATTGTAGATCCAGGCTAATTCCAAGTGAATTAGTGTCATCAGCCGCTTCATAGAGAGCTTTGCTATTAACGGTATGATTGACTTCACTAAGTGATGTGTGTGGGTTTGTCTTAAAATTTCCTTTATTTTTCATGGGTGAAAAAAGGGAGGATTTTTTATAAAATTGTTACCATGCTTCTTGAGCAGTAAAGTATCTGAAAGTTAATTTCTTTTGTGATGTGTCATTAGGTCGTCTTGCTCAGGACCTTTAAAGCTATAGGATAATTAGTTCCTTATGGGTTTTAAATTCCCAAAAGCGAAATGATGTCTTATAGTGATTTATTTAAATTCAAGTTAGTTAACATATTACGCCCAGTGCTCATCCCAACAAGTGCCCTCCTTGATACCTGTCACCCATTTAGCCCATCCCCCCACCCCCGCCCCTCCGGTAACCCACAGTCTGTTTTTTGTATTTAAGAGTCTCTTATGGTATGCCGCCCTCTCTGTTTGTGTCTTGTTTTCCTTTCCCTTTTGATGTTATTTTTATGAAGGTGGGGTCTGAGGTAGTAAATAAAAGTAATATCGAAAGGAAATAATTGTTAAGCGATCTTGAAATATTTTGTTGCTTGGCCTACGTTTCTGTAGAAAATTTATTTGCATTGCCGTTGACTTAAGTCACCAAAAATATTCTTTTAGAAAAAGCTAATAAATGTCTATGTTCAGTCCATTTTTGTCTTGATATTTGTTTCTATTTAATTGCAGCTTCATTACTTAAGGATTTCTTTGTTATCAGAAAATTAATCTGTAAGCTAATACTTTGTGTATTTGGTCACAGGTGCCACTTGGGCAAGGAAGTGTTTTATCTCAAGTTGAAATAAATAAAATAATACTTTAGTTAATGACTTTCCTAATTTTACATTGGTACACATACCTGTTTTTAAAATATTTGCCTTGTATTTCTTGAATTATTTCTTTAAGTATTTTTTTACAAAATGCATTAAGTGGATAATTATTCTGATATGCATTTAAATGGGAACCAATCATCTATTATTACCTTAAAGAAAAACAAATTAGACCAAAGAAAGAAATACGGTTGTATAGAATTCTCCTCACCTGGACTTAGATATTTAGCTGGTAACATATCCCAGTCTATATAAAAAAAAAAATTAATGTTTATTTTTGAGAGAAAGCGAGAGAGGGAGAGAGTGTGTGTGGGGGGGGGGTGGGGGGTGGGGGCAGAGAGAGAGGGACACACAGAATCCAAAGCAGCTCTAGGCTCAGAGCTGTCAGCACACTGACAAGGGGCTCGAACTGACGAACCGCAAAATTATCACCTGAGCCAAAGTTAGATGTTTAACTGACTGAGCCACCCAGCAACCCCCCACCCCCCCACCGCCCCTAGTGTATATAAATGAGAGCCCACTTTCGTAACTGAGGAAAAAATAAAACAATATCATTTTACAAAGCATTTTTTGTAGCAGTGGGATTGTTTTATGTTTATGAAACTAAGACTGAAATATTCATCAGTAGTTCTCTCAGTGTCAGAAGTTCTAGAACTTATAGCCCACTTCCCTCCTCCAATATCCTGGCATAAGAGAATTCAAAAGCTATTCTTAAATGCTGTGACTGTGTAATACTAAGAAAGAGAATTCTGAAAAATGGATAGACAGACATGTCTTTGGATTTTCTGGCTACTTAAATTCAGGTGCCCTCTAGGAAATGGTGACAGTGGGATTCTGTCTCGTGATCTGTTCTGTATTTATTGAGCATCTGCTCTATATGGGACCTAGCACAGATCCTGTGTGAAGTTGTATAAAATAAACTAATACCCAGAAATTCAGAAAACACTGATGGAAGTTTTCTTAATTTTCTTTAAAGTTGTTTTCTGAAGACTGAAGTCTCTTGATCTTCTTTCTTTGTGAGTTCAGTTAATTTTATAGGAGAGGAAAATGAAATCTTTAAAAAGATCTATCTCTTTATGTATCCTGTACGATTTTTCATAATTCACACAAGCAGGTATCCTGTTTCTAGTTTCAATTTTTTTTTAATTTGAGAAGGGTTTAACAGTGTTTGATAAGCACCACTGGGCCTAAAGGGGTGTCACCTCTGCTGGGGGTGGGGAGCAGTGACTGGAACTGGAAATGGGAGATCCCGGTAAATCCCTGTGTGAGGCTCCTCATTCTAGGAAGATGTGGCCTTTGGTTGAGAGATGCCATTCACTGAGGTGAGCCTACAGATGGGTGCCAGATGCCTCCAGCTTCACTCTTCTCTTTATCTCCTGTATTTTTTTTTTTTTTAATAATTCTACTTCATTGGGTAAGATAACTTCACATGAGATCTATCCTTTTCACCTTCATGTGTACGATGGATTATTGACTGTGGGCACAGTGCTGTGCAGATCTGTAGAGCTTTTTCATCTTCACTGAAACTTCATGCCCAGTGACTGGTAACTCCCCATTTTGCTTTCCTTGCAGCCCCCAGTAGCCCCCAGTCCAGTCTGAATCTATGAATTTGGCTGTTCTGGGTACCTGGTGGAAGTGGAATTATGCAGTCCTTGTCTTTCTGTATCTGGCCTTTTCACTTATGCATAACATCCTCAAGGCCCATCCATGTTGTTGTGTATTGTGTGCAGAATTTCCTCTTTTTTTTTTTTTTTCTTTCGTAAGGCTGAATAGCATTCCGCTCTATGTAGATACCACATTTTCCTTACCTATTCACCTGCCAGTGGATATTTAGGTTTTTACCACATCTTTGCTATTGTGAATAGTGCTGAAATGAACATGGGAATACTACTAATTTCTCTTCAAAATCTTGATTTGAGGTTATTTTTGATAAATGCCCAGAAGCAGGATTAGTTGGGTCATGTGGTAATTCTATTTTTAGAATTTTGAGGAACTTCCATCTCATGTTTCATAACTTCTGCCCCATTTTGCATTCCCACCAACAATGTGCAAAGGTCCCAGTTTCTCCACATCCTTGCCAATACTTGTTGTCTTTAGTTTAAAAATTGGGGTGAGGTGGGTAGTTTCTTTTGGGTCACCAATGCATATTTCCCCTTTGAAGTATTCTTTAGAAATACTGCTTTTTTCCTCTGGTTGCTCTTCCATTAACTATAGAGTGTACTTCGTGAATAAATGATAAAGAGGTGATTTAGCCATCTTGTTTTTCAAGGATGAATATTTCTTACTGTGGTGATGAGCTTGCTAGTGACCCTTTTTTTCTATAGATCATTGCTTTCTTACAGAGTGTTCTTCGATCCCTATTTAACTGGATTGCTAGGTAGGGAAACCCTGTCATAGCTCGTCGGGAGATAGTACATCGCAAGTGACCACATTTCTCACCTGCTTCTATGATTCATGATCAGGATGCTGAGATATTTAATTCCTCAGCTGTTAGAGAAAAAGAATAGAGAGCACAAATAAGAATTCTGGTCTATATTTCTAGTATTTCAGAATTCTAATTTATGAATATACAACTTTTCCCAAAGTACAGGTTGAGGCACTGGCCCTCATCAGAGTGTATTCTTAGCAGCAGCATTGGTGTCTCCTTTGAAAATCTATTGGCAGAAGGTGGAAGTTTTTAAGAAACTCATTTGCTACCTTATGTGAATAGATTAACACCACGACAGCCAGAGTGTCCTGGCTCTTCTCTTCTCAATTTAATTCTGAGATACAGTTTTTCTGGGTTAATGTCAGTGAGAATCCTGTGTTGATGGAGAAACGCCTCTTGTGTTATTACAAGTAGCTTTACCTTGCTTGAATCTCTCTTTGTTGCTTTTAAGCAGAAGATGATGTCTTAAAATTTTTTTTTTTTTTTTGCGTAGAAGTTCTAAAAATACTTGAAATGTATTTTTAAGTATTTAAAAATTTAAGAAATCCCTCTTTGGAGAATGAAAGGAAAAATTTTATGGAGTTCATGTTCTGGATTTATCAACTAAAGTCTTCTCATTTAATAAATGGTATAAGAGTGCTAAGATTATTTTTTTAAGACATTTTGCCAACTCTTGATTAGACCATGAAAGTGAGACCATTCCAGTTGTCTGCCAGACAAAACTGACTTATTTACTAAAAACGTACTTTTGCATAAGTCTGGGAGTATTTGACATCAAGAAAATTTGACTTCATTCGTTACAAACCCAGGATTTAAACAGTGAAATTGTGCTGGTAAGAAAGGATATATGTCATTTCTACAGATCTACTGTGTGCAATGTTCTTCATGGGAAAGCATCACTTGATGGAATGGATTCCTGAGTTGGATGTTCTTTCCCATGGGAAATAGACATAAATATTGAGAATTACTAATGGTAATGGATTGCCTCTTGGCACTTATAGCTTGGAGCAAGAATTCAGACATATGTGTTTATATAAATGATTTAAGCTAATACAAATAAATATCCTTTGATATACACTGAGAACAGCTGCTCTTTTGCTCAGGTTGAGGAAAATACATTATTCATGAATACACGAATGTGGATTTAGTCATCTTAATCACTATCCTAAAACTCTGTATGTAGGAGGGTTTATAAATGATGTTCTTTTTCATTAGAAAGTTTAGGCAGCCTTTTGTTGTGTAGATTGAGGAATCTTAGTAAAATGAGATAAAATGTAAACTTCTGTCATCTTTTTAAAAAAGAAAATTCATGGGGCGCCTGGGTGGCGCAGTCGGTTAAGCGTCCGACTTCAGCCAGGTCACGATCTCGCGGTCCGTGAGTTCGAGCCCCGCGTCGGGCTCTGGGCTGATGGCTTGGAGCCTGGAGCCTGTTTCCGATTCTGTGTCTCCCTCTCTCTCTGCCCCTCCCCCGTTCATGCTCTGTCTCTCTCTGTCCCAAAAATAAATAAATGTTGAAAAAAATAAAATAAAAAAAAAAATAAATAAAAAAATAAAATTCATAAAGTCTCCTTTTTGTTTCTTTTGTTTCCCCCTACAGGCTTGTGTCTCCAGAGCAGCCACCAAAGGCCAAGTTCCTGACCCTGGGGTCCAAATTCCGCTACAGCGGCCGCACCCAAGCCCAGACCCGCCAGGCAAGCACCCTCATTGACAGGCCAGCGCCACACTTTGAGCGTACCTCTAGCAAACGGGTCTCCAGGAGTCTAGATGGAGGTAAACACATTTGTGATAGTTTGTATTCCGTTAATCTTTCTCTGATCCAGTGGGATCAGAAAGTGTTGATCTAGTTAATGAGGTCCTCAGAAATGTCCTGGAAGGATAGCTATTTTCTCTGAGTAAATAAAATAATATTTCTTATATTCACAAGAAGAGTTTTATAGTGTTTTCAAGCTGTCATTCTGAACCTAATTTTCTTTGTACTGTCAGTGCACACAAATATTAAGAATCATCATGGGTAAGATGTTGGACAAATACATGGTTACTGATCTGACTTAATTATGATGTGTTTTATGTGTCTTAATTTCTTGAACTTGTTAATTAATGGCGAAAGTGGAATTCGAAGGGTTTTGGTATGGTAACGTAAGAACCTTATTTAAAGGAACTTTAAAATATTCTAATTTTATGAGTTAAAAACTCTTACTAAAGCTTACCAAACTTCTTAGCATATGAGAAAGCAACCACCACTTCCAAGGATTAATTTAAATGTAGTGTTTTAACAAAAAAGAAAGGAAATACAGTATAATCGTTAGTTCTTTCAGCGAAGTGGGGGGAGGTTATGTATAAATTTGTATATTTTTTGTTAGAATTCTTATTAGCTACAGGTTTGCAGTTTTATATATTTTATGTATGGAAATAAATTGACATTCCTTCCCTTCATGTATGTATTTTATTAACCTAATTTTGGGTAGTCAGTTTTCTATAAAAGAGCTGACAGAGACAGAGAGTCCCAAGCAGGCCCCGTGCTGCCAGCACAGAGCCCGATGTAGGGCTTGAACCCACGAACTGTGAGATCAAGACCCAAGCTGAAATCAAGAGATGGACGCTCAACTGACTGAGCCACCCAGGTGCCCCTTTTTTGTTAGGATGAATGTTTTATAAAGAACTTCATTTTACTTTCTGCCTAGAAGAAACCAATTGATGTGGGTGACTTTCTCCCAGAAAGTAGTTTTCCAACATTTTTTGGTTGATTAATCTCAAAACCTATGTAAAAATAGTAATAGTAAATTTAAAATTTTGTTTTATTACTGGGGCGCCTGGGTGGCTCAGTCGGTTAAGCGTCCAACTTCGTTTCAGGTCATGATCTGGCGGTTTGTGAGTTCGAGCCCCACGTCAGGCCCTGTGTTGACAGCTCGGAGCCTGGAGCCTGCTTCAGATTCTGTGTCTCCCTCTCTCTCTACCCCTACCCCACTCTCTCTTTCTCTCTCTCTCTCTCTCTCTCTCTCTCTCTCTCTCTCTGTCTCTGTCTCTCTGTCTCTCTCAAAAATAAATAAACATTAAAAAGAAATGTGTTTTACTGCTGTTGATCATAGAAAACCTTTCTTGCTTATTACATTTTTCTGACATATGAACAAGAGCAACTTTTAAGTAGCTGAAACAGATCTGCTAATAGATAAAAATGCTTTTTCATATGTATACTTGCTAAGTTTTTTTTTAATCTAGTTGATCTAACAATGTCACATCAATTTCAGATATACATTTCAGATATACAATATAGTGATTCCCCACAAATGTAGCTACTATCTGTCACTATAGAAAGCTATTACAGTATCATTGACTGTATTTTGTATTCTGTACCTTTTATCACCGTGACTTATTCTATAACCGGAATCCTGTCTGTGTCTCCCACTCCCCTTCACCCTTTTTTCCCCATCCTCTGACCCACTTCTCTCTGGCAGCCATCCATTCTCAGAATTTATAGGTCTGATTCTAAAAATGCTCTCTCCTAAATGGATTGACACCCCTTGGCCTTGATCTACTTTTCCCAGAATAAACTTGGAGAACAGATCCAGGCAGACATACAGAGATACTTCCAAGGATTTGTTGGTGGGCATTTGTCTATGTAGTTATTCAATCTTGATTCTGGAGAATCTCCCATATAGTTTCAAGACTACAAATAGGCAAGGGGGTCATAAACTGTGGTTCAAATAACTATCTGTATTTCCAAATGTAGTGATTTAAATTTATTGAGATTTTGATGTGTGATAGCTGTCCGTGTATCTTTTAGGTCGTCAACAAGTGAACACTTTTTTTCAAGTAAATGTGACAAATGTTCCTGCTTGTGGAAGTATTTCACAAGCCTTGCCCCTTGCCACAGAGAATTTGTATAAGTGCTGAATAACCTTTAATCAGTGTTGGTTAATGCCCTGAGAGAAGTCATTCCCCTTTCTGGAATACTGTCTGTTTCAGCCTTTGTTTTAAACTGTGAGACTTTATAACTCTTATATTGCAAATTTTAGAGTTAAGAAAGAGCAGTGAACCACTGTTTTGAGATCTATAAACTGTGCTCAAGGAAGCCCACCATCTTGTGTGAGCAGTTAGTGCAGAGGGTTATAGTAGGTCTGTATCTGAAAACAATGATTTGTACAAGTAAGAGCAGCAAACATGCACAGTGATCCATTATTTTTCCTTTTGTGTTTTGGACACTGTCATTCATCAGATGGGCAAGTGATCAAAAGGATTATTGTGTTATTGTGAAAAATAGAAGGCTTTTCATGCCAATACATGACGAGCCAGTGAACTATTTGGTTAGGGCTTTTGGTCTCCCCTTTTCCCTCCCAAAGCAAAGCTAGGCCGTAACCTGGTACTGAGCTTTCTTTTTGCCACCACTCCCCATCAGTACACCTTTTATCTGCTGTTGCTGACCTGCGTCGTATTTTCTTTTTCCTACTTAGTTTTTAAGTCAGGCTAGACTAGTTTAGGTACATAAATATTTCTCACTTGAAGTTTTGACAGATTGAAATAAATCGTCCAGTGATTACATACAAGCTAAAAATCAACATGATGTCTAAGGTCAAGCATTGAAATAAAACTCTAAAACTTTTTTAGAACAGTGTGATTCTGAGATTGGAAAATCAAGCCAAAAAGGAGGCAAGTCAGTCATTTAAGAGAACGACCAAGATGCATGTGAGAGTGAGGGAGACAACGACTTCCTGAAAATGGGGAATATAATAAGCAGGACACTACCTTGGATTGGGTCATGGGAGAAGAAGGCCCATCTGGTGAAGAACCATTTGGGTTGAGACGTGAAGGATGAGGGGGAACTAGCCAGGAGTAGAGCAGTAAAGCATTCCAGGTAGCAGGAGCATCAGGGATGAAGGTTATAAGATTAGGGAGAGCTTAATACAGTCCAGGAACAGAAGGAAGGCTAGTTGGAGCTTTAGTAAACGAGGGGAGAGATAGGTGGCAAACAGTTCATGCAGGGCCTTGCAGGCCATGGAGAAGAATATGGTTTTTATTCTAGTGCTACTGAAGGATGTGTGTGTGCATTACATACATGTGTGTGCAGTTCTGCAAGCATGTAAGTGCACCGTGTTACTCCCTACCCCCGCCCCCCACCACATGATGTTACCTCTTTAAAAAAATCACTTGGTGCAATGTCGAGAATGATTGATAGGACAAGAGACGAAGAGGCAGACTGGTTAGGAATACTCCAGGTGAGAGCACTAGTGATCTTGTCTTGGGTGATAGTAGGCCATTTAGCCATATGGCACCATAAGCTCAGTGCCTAGAGCCTACAGGCTCCTCAGGATTCTACAAGTGTTTGAGACCTAAAAAGTTATTTTGCTTCAAAATGCAAAAAACAACACAAACAACCCACCCCCCTGCATAGTGAAATTAATAAATTTTTATTTTTTTAATGTTTTAATTTATTTTGAGAGAGACTGTATGCAAGCACAGGAAGGGCAGAGAGAGCAGGAGAGAGAGAGAATCCCAAGCAGGCTCCGTGCTGTTAGCAAGGAGCCTGACACAGGGCTCATTCTGTGAACCATGAGATCATGACCTGAGTTGAAATCATGAGTCGGATGCTTAACCAACTGAGCCACCCAGGCACCCTGAAATTAATGTCTTTAAAAGCATGCAAAATATTTTTCCAGTTTCATTATGTAACTTTCATATTCATTAAAATTTCTGTATCATTACATCTAAAACCATTTCTAGGTCAGTTTCCCATTTTGCAACAATTTCTGAGTGTGTAATGGGTGCTTAGAAATCATAAGTTAAAAGAGTTACTCATAGCCTATATTTTCTGAGGGAAAATTACTGAAGTCTTTTGAAAAGTTAAAAAAAAGAAAATAATTATACTTAATGTAAGATTTGGTGTGGGCTTTCAAAAGTGTGAGTCCTTAAGGGCTGTCAAAGTCTTAAAAGTGACCTGGTTAGTAAAGTAGGAGGAGGGAGAACTGGCCACATTTAAATTCAGCTGGACTTGATGGTCGTAAGGGATAAAGGCAGAGACTTCAAGGTTTGTGGCTTGGGTAACTGGGTACAAGTAGAAGTGTGGTATCTGGTGAAAAAGGCAAGGCTAGGGAAGGTGCAAGGTTTGGACAGGGCACATGAAGGGTGTGGGCCAAGACATTTCTTGTGATACACAGATTACAGGTGCTTGATGCTTCCCCAGTTCAATATGGTGGATCACACCCATTGCCTTCCCTAAAGGCCTCATGTTTACTGCCCTTCTCTGGGGCATAGAACCAATGCAAACCTCACCATGTCAGTCAAGCACTTTTCATACAAGTGAAATAACCTCAGTGGGTGGGGTTTGGGGAAAAAGCTACAGATGGGTAGAGGCTTTGTCGCTGCTACTCACTTGCATTTGTTGAAATGTGATGCCGTCCTGGGTTGACCTGCCATATGGCAGAAATTTCAGCACAATATATGTCCCTGCTCATGTGCAGGAGGAATGAAGGAAAAGCACACGAGGGCCAGGTTTGCTGAGGCAGGGGGTTGGATTGGATTTATTGTAGGTCAAATTGAGGCACTCAGGAGGGAGGTTAGAAAAATGAAAACTATTAAAAATAAGCACAGAAGTTAATTTGTAAAATGGACTTTTGCTGTCTTGTCATAATTTTGAATGATACACAAATTAACGCTTCCTTTATGGAAGAATTCTGAAAACATATTTGAAGCAAATCATTTCAACCTCTAGATAATTGTTTGTTGCAATAATTAGATTTAGAAATAAGTTTAGGAAAGATCAAAGAGGCCTTACAGAATTAAAATATTCCTCACTTTGGGATTTTGACACAGTGCCCAGCTCTGTCTCACCTGGTCTTAGAGCTCCTCCTACTGGCCAATTCCATGATCAGACTCAAGCCTTCCAAACTCTGATTGGAGAGCCTGGTGTAGTTTCATGGGTTAAAATTCAGAATATGTTTAGAATTTGGTAAAAATTTAAAAATGAATTTGATATGTTGGCATCTTCAGAGCTCAAGCAATGCTCCCGTTCCTGTTAATGTCTACGTGCTGCCTGTTCATCTGTGTAAGAGGGGGCAATTCCATAAACTTTGAGCATTTCAGTGTCCTAAAGTATTCCAAATGATCTTTCTTTACTAGCTCCAGTTGGTGTTGTTGATGAAAGTCTTATGAAGGATTTTCCTGGCCCTGCTGGGGAGGTTTCAGCATATGGCCCCGGAGCTGTCAGCACCGCCATGGTACAGGATGGGGATGGCAGAAGGGACCTCAGGAGCCCGACTAAAGTCCCACATGTGCAATTCGTTGAAGGAAAGGTATGGTAAATTAGTAGAACATGTGATTTTAAATGTGTACTTAGACTAGAGGCTGTTACATTTGTTGTTTCAGAACTCAGGTATCATTTAAAATTAGTCTATGTATGTTCTCTGCTGATAAAAGTTCCCCATTTTCAGGTACATGTAGGCTCCTGCTGGTCTAAACAGTCTCTCTAGCCTTTTTCTGATTGTTGTTCAAAGCAAAATATTTCAATGTAATTTATATTGGTGCAAGCAAGTAATTTAGTGGCCTAGTATTTGTGACTGTCTTCACAATCATCCTATTTAGTTAAATCCCTAAATTATAAAAGCTGCGGTGATCTGAAATGTGCATTTGTTTGTAAATTTGAAAGCATAACCTGTGTTGGGTATTTTAATTATGTTGACTTGAAATTTTTTTCTGAAATGAACAAAGATGGTCTTTATGAAAAATGTTATTTTTCATTCATCTCTAGCTGATGATGAAGAAATTCTTAAGCAAAGGGTGACTGGTGAATAGTGAATGAGAGAATGGTGTGTTGGGGCACACTCCGTAGGGAGTGGAGAAGTAGCCTGTGTTGTGTTTTCAAATTTGTCACTATTTTATGATCCCTTCTTCCCTTGGGCACGTGAAGTCACTTAGAGGTTGATTTGAAGAGGCTTTGAGTTCATCAGATCTCTTTTCTGTATCTACACAAAGCAACTTTTTTATAGAGAACATTGGAAGTGAACACGAAAAGGAAATTCTGCTATCGATTTTATAATGCTTTCTAAATTTTAACTTTTGAAAATGTTAACGACCTGCAACATAAATGTATAAAGAACCTACTAGTAGCTGTCAGTGGCTCAGGAATTCCTGCGCTGACCACCTGTCTACATAGAGCAGGGTTCGGGGACCATGTGAGCCCTAATGCCCCCAAGGAGCACCGTGCCATCACGTCCCCCGAATACCTGTGTTAAAGTACTTGTGACTGTCATACCAAAAAAATTATTTGGTTGAAAGTCATTCAGTTAAAAATAACAAATTCTGACCAACAAAATATAAAGTTGTCAGAATCTTTTAGGATTATGCTAATGAGGCACCCAGGAGAGTGACTGCTTCCATCTGAAACCAAAGAGCTCAGGGATTCAGAGTCTCGGTACCCTTTGGCCTACTTAATTTGATGCACGTAGTTATTTTTAAAAAGTTATTTTAAATTCCAAAGGAAATTCTGCAACAAATGATGAGGTGCGCTGGTCTTTTTGCCAGTGCTTTGAAGCATTGATTTAAATGCAACCAGATTTAAAAGTAAGAATGTTACTTGAGTTTCATTGGATCTCTTTGCAACCAGTCAGAGAATAATAATGAAATCGGTCTATACCTATAAATTTTATGTGATACAAGTAGTCCAGTTTTTCTCTTAAAAGTGAATCATGTAATTCATGTTCTAGCTGTGCTGTGTTGATAACAATCCCTAATTCAGAGTACAAGTTTTCACTAACTACCCATTTCTTCTTTTTCTCTCTTGCCTCTGTTTCTCCTTTGAACGTATCCGTTGTGTTCATTTCTCAATTCCATCATGGGTTTGCTCCTGAGAATAGCCTGTTTCCATATGCCCACCTTCACCACTCATTTGCTGTGTTTCATCTCTTTCCCCAAACCTGTTGCCAGTCCCCGAAATGGACTTGCTTTCAGACATTTCGGAGGAAGACCCCTTTGGGGAGGCCGACGAGGTCACACTCGACAGCTTAGAGCTCCCTTCCACAGGTGAACCGTCAGAGCAGGGGGACTGTGAAGTGCCCACCCTCGATTCTGTCTTGGCTCCTGTTGTAGCCCCCCCTCAGCCTGACTGTCCTCCCGCCCGTGAGAAGCCTCTAAAAGAGGCTGACCACAGAGATTCTGAATTTGGGTACTTTTCCTTCAGGTTCTGCAAGCGCTTTCCACCTAGCTTCCCCTCCCTTCTCGATGAAGACGGTTATCTTGCTTTCCCCAGCCTCCCCAAAGTCTGGGTCTCCTTCCTCCCCACTGATGTCCAGCACTACATTCCTATTACCTCCCCTTCATTCCTTCCTTCCCTCATCCTTATCTTTGGACTACTTCTCTCTGCTTCTCAGTCAGTGCCTTTTTCTCTCACCTTTTCCCTTCCTCTGGCTCTGTCCCTCTGCTATCTGGAGGCTAAAGCCACTTCCTTTAATGTTTCTTATGACTGTGACGTGAATGACAAAACAGAGGAAGAGGAAGCAGTTGCTGGCACTCCTACATAAGCTTGAGTTTGTGGGGCCAACAAAACTACACCTCATTTTATGTCTTCATAATGTAGAGTGTAAACATGTGCATAAATTTCACCACCGATTACCCTCAAAGTAGTATGAGCCACACATTTTCACATACAGTGTTTTAGTGCATGAGAAATACATGTAAATAAGCACGTGCCCTCCACTGATTTCCATAGACCAGGTCCACATGTTCTAAGTTGAGAGCAAAGTTATGATAGGATGATTTTGTAAATATCTAGACCATGCTTGGTCTTTGTAAAAAATGTTTTAAATGTAAAAAAGAAGGAACCCTGTGTTCCCCTTAACAATCCATAATGGGGTCTTTGTTTTGCAGATATCAGTGCTGTTCCTTTAGGGTGGAAGCTGTTTTGATGTAGAACTTAGGACACAGTGGACATAACTGTCACTGATGTGTTTTAGTACAACTCCTTAGCATTATTTCTCTTTAGAAAGCCAAGCTCGTTCTTGCATTTATGAGGATGTATCTGTAAGCTTTTACTCCTGACATTTATAGGCCTAATCTCAGAAATTCCCTGTCTCCCTATTATTGCACCGTTTGGGAACCAGATGAATTTCGGTTAGTTTTTGTTGTTGTGGTCATTGTTTTAACACTAAATCATGTAGTTCTATGAAAGGGTCAACTGTCAAGTATTTGTAAGGAAGATACTAGTTTCTTTTGAAGAAATACATATGAAGAATGAAACACAGCTCTTTGAAAATTTAGATGATTAGCCTTAAGGTTGGGCTTCTTAGCATCCTTTTATTTAAAATTAGGTGTCTGGGGGCGCCTGGGTGGCGCAGTCGGTTAAGCGTCCAACTTCAGCCAGGTCACGATCTCGCGGTCCGTGAGTTGGAGCCCCGCGTCGGGCTCTGGGCTGATGGCTCAGAGCCTGGAGCCTGTTTCCGATTCTGTGTCTCCCTCTCTCTCTGCCCCTCCCCCATTCATGCTCTGTCTCTCTCTGTCCCAAAAATAAATAAATAAATAAATAAAGTTAAAATATTAAAAATAAATAAATAAATAAATAAAATTAGGTGTCTGGTTTGAGGATTTTTATCCCTTTATAGGGCTACCACTGCACTACTAGGTTAGTACTAACGTGTGCAGTATGTTTTTGTTTTGCTAAATGTGGTCTGAAGACTTAGTGTCTCATGTCCTGTGGGTACTGTCCACAGAGTAGACCACAGAAATTTAGAGCACACTTGAAGAAGACTGTAAAGGTAATGCTATGATTAGGCATAGTGGGAGAAACCACTATTCTTAAAGGTTACCTGAAGAATGCCACAGATTGGCATTGTAGAGAATTAAATATTGACGAAGGAATTGGGAGATGATGCTTAATAGGTTGTTGGTTAGCTCTGTCTTCTATTTCCCTTCGGATAAAAAGATCCTCTGGACTCCCTGCTTACCTCAAACATACTTGAATGGTTTGAAGAAAAGAAAAAAAAAACAAAACAGCATTTTGAACTCTCAGATTTGACACTATCATTCCAGTTAGGAAGAGAAGGAATATATATGATCCTGCTGTAATTAACATGTGAGAGTTAAACTGCTGTCTTTCGGTCTCTGAATCATTATTTTTGTTTCTTGCTATGCCTTTCCTTGAAGTCGGTAGTCATTTCTGTTTTTATTTATTTATTTAAATTTTTAAAATTTTATTTATTTAATACATTAATTTATGTATTGACATACAGTGTTCCATTAGTTTCAGGTGTATAACAATGATTTGACAGTTCTGTATGTTACTTAGTCCCCATCTGTCACCATATGACATTACTTGAGTATTATTGATGATATTCCCTATGCTGTGCTTTATCTCCATGAGTTAGATTCCATATGCTGTACTTTTTGTCTCCATGAGTTAGTTTAGATTTACAGGTTTTTGGTTTTTTTTTCCTTCTCTTGGGTCACTAGAGACTGAGAAGTGTCCAACATTAAAAAGTATTCTTATTTAAAGAATTTTATGAAAAGTGGCTATAAAATAGGAGTATTTTTAAGTACAATTTTAACATGCAAGTAGCAAAATAAGCCAGTTTTCTTCCCAAGGAAAGAAATTTATGTTAAAGAACTCAATAACAGGGTGAATATTTGTCCCTGATATAAAGTGAAAACGAAATTTTTACATCATTATACTTTGCCCTCATCACTCGTTGCTCTAGACCTTTCTAATGAGGACAGATGGAATTATGCCATTTTTACACTCTCATATTTTCATTTCTGAGTAAAAACATTCAAAAGGAGCACATAATCTAGGGACTGAGAAAGAGTGAAGCTTCCATTTTCCATTCCATCTTTGCAAAAAGGCCTAGTTCCACCATTTGTGCAACAATGTAGGTGAAGAAAGACCAAAGTGGCTTAATGTTCTGCATCTTCTGAGGGCCAAACAGTAAAGGTTGGTAATCGGTTCACCATTTCAGTTCCAATACAGCTTCTGTGCACCAATGTAGAGTTGCTACGACTACCCCCACCCCCTTCTTTCTGGCCATTTGCTGTATGACTTTCAGGTGAAGAGGAAAGAAGAGAAGACACAGCTGGAGGAGGTGGATATTTATTCCCCCTGAATTAAATACCTGGTGGCTGCTGTGCACCATTATTATGGTGTGTGTGTGGGGGGGTGGGGGGGGTGTAATGCACTTCGGGGATGATCTGTGAGTTTTGCTTGTTGTGACTTTAGGTTCTTGAGATTTTTTATTCCACTTTTATGTTAATGTCTTGGACTAGCCAACTCTGGGTCATTTTTGGTGCTTGTCGACTGATACACTTACGTTTATTTGCCTTTTCCCCCTGTGTGTGATTTAATTTCACAGAAGAATTCCTTGAGAGTAGAAGGGGATAATATTTATGTCAGACATAGCAATTTAATGTTGGAGGTTTGTATAATTTAAGAAAACAACTCTGTCCTAATGGCTGCCAAGCTGCTGTGGACGGGAGGTCACGCACAGGCTGGCTGGCAACTTTCTTTAAGCACGGTGCATGGAATGCATGGGGGACACTTCAACTCGGGAGTGCATGTTACCAGTCCGATTTTGTTCCTTTAAAGTGGCTTAGGTACGAGTATATCTACGAGAAGTTCTCAAAGTGACAACTGGGAAAAAAAAGTTCTGTGTAATCGAATGAGTAAAATTTTTTATCTATTACTCTTACTGAAGTTCTGCAGGTAAATCTGTTCTCTCCCTAATGGGTTATCTCCGGGGTATAGAATCCCAAGTAACACCCCATCCTTAATATATATTCACCAGAACAGATATGTGTTGATCTGGCATTAAATGGCTTTAAATCTGTATTCACAATTTGGGGGAGTGGGGGAGTTGCTAAAATCCATGCAATTAGGAATGTGGTCCACTTAAAGTATTACATTTGGAAAATATGTTAATGGATTGTTTTGATTAAAGAGAGAGTGGGAAAGAAAGGGGGGGGCAAAAAAAAGAAAACCCAGGCAACCAATTAGGTATGTAAAATATATTCCCCGTGTCACACGAGAACGTGTTTCTGTTTTCCCCCTTATTTTATGGTAGTAAAATGGCGACGTATTCATTTGGAGAACTGCAATTCTCAGTAATCTGACTAATCTGGTTGCTTTTGGCAGCTTTGATAACTATTGGAAATGTGTTTTGCCTAACTTACTAAAATGCTCTGAACTGTAATATGTAACATTGCTTTGAACAAATGCAAGAAATGTGCCTGATCTCAAGCCACAGTCATTTTCCCATGCCATGCAAAGAGTTTTAGATGATCATGAGTTTTTGCAAATGGCTACAGAAGCTCGTAGATGAGCTGTGATGCTTGTGCATGAATGTGGACTATCTAATGTTATCAGATGCATGACCTGTTCCTCTGGGAGTGCGATGAAAGCTATAATCCATGGGCGGCCCTGTGATTTTGAAATGTAAGAAAACATTTAAAATTCACTTAACACTGTTTCCTGGATGCTAGTTACCTTTTGTTCCCACAAATACAGTTTATCGGGGCCAACCTAAAACTTCCCACCAATACCATTTGTCAGGGCCTGCTCCAGTGCAAATTGACCTGGCAGTTTTTCTTGTAACTCTTTCTGAATAAGGACCATTTGGTATGTGGGGTGACTGGGCCTCACAATTGTGCTTGGCAAGCACATGAAACCGTATGGGAGACTCACTCTTATAGAGAGGCTGAACAGAAGCAGCCTTTGGAAGCCATTATTTTTATTCCTTAACTGTTAAAAGCCATTGCTAGAATTTCCTGGAAAAAGTCAACCCTTGGTTTTCTCTTTCTCTCTCTCTCTCTCTCCCTCTATTTTTTTTTTTTTTTTTTTTTTTGATGATCTTGGTCTGGCTTTCCCCTCAAGCCAAATGTGCTTCTGAGTACCTTTCTCTATTTTTTACTTGATTTACTATGTTCACAGAATGCAGCTGTAGTGATAGCCTTCATGAGACAGGTAAATTTGCAGGAACAAAGTCATAGGCTGCGTTTTAAGTCCAATTTTTAGGAAGAAGGTCATTAGCCATTTTGAGTACCAGTAGTTCTATGACATCCTTCTGATAATGTTAATAATTATTTCTTTAAAAATTCTAAACAGAGAAGAAATTAGAACCTTTTAAAATGTGAACCATAAAAAAATTACACATTGGCTTTATTTTCCAATTTTGATGAACTCCTTATATTCATAGGTGATAATATGGCTTTTGAGACTTGGCATTTTTCTTGCTTTACTATGTTTTTTTAATCATAAATTTGCTCTGTCTTATTTTTTGGTTTTTTTATTTTTGTCCTGCTGGGTTTTTCTTTTTCTTTTTCTTCTTTTTTTTCCTTTTGGATTTCTGCCCTTTATTACGTTACATATTGCTAGGACCTCGATAAGGCCCAGGAGGACATACTGAGACATCAGGCTAGCATTAGTGAACTCAAGCGCAATTTTATGGAATCCACACCTGAGCCGCGCCCTAATGAATGGGAAAAACGACGTATCACACCTCTGTCCCTACAGACACAAGGGGTATGTCACTAGCTCTTTGTTGGCTATATGTCTCATTCCAGCTCTTCAGTAGAACTCAGGTTGCTGATATACTATGTTGATTCTCAGGAAGTTAGAAAATGTTCTTTTTTTTTTTTTTAATGTAATTGCTAACAACTTTTTAAATACTAAATATTAACAATGTAATACTTATTGACTTCGTTCTTAGTACATTGTATGATTTTTAAAATTTTTTTTGAAAGTTGCAAAGTACTTTCACTATTTTTACTCAAGTAAATTAGTAGTAATGACATGTCATATTGGTGACTTAGAAACTGGCGTTACTATGTTGCCTTAAGGTTTTTTGTTATGAACGACTGAAATAAGAGTTTACTAAACAATAATTAATCATTAAAGGGGTGTAGGAATATAGATCATATTTAGAATGTTACAAGGTATTTACTGTGAGGATAAAGTGTTAAACTTAGCTCTGAAAGCTGATGAGCTCTGTTGAAAGTTTGCAAAATGTTAATACGATTTAGTACTGAAGCTTCTTAGTAATGAAATGTAGACTAGTATTTTAAAAGGATTTTCAACCGTAACGTCTCTCCACACTCATTCTTTTTCTTTCCGTGGTTTGTCTCCCCACCACCAATATAAGTATTGCCTTTACAATATAGTCTCAATTTATTTCTCCATTCGTTTTTATCTACATCTCTTATTTTCTAATGCTCCAGAATCTGTTACCAACGAAAAACTTTCATGGACTCATTTATCATGTTTGAGGAAATACTGATTATAGTATTTTAAATATGCTATTTTAAAAAGTCGTATAAAGGTGTTAGCTGACAATTTCATCTTTCCCCCTTTCCTTACAGCCCTCTCTTCTCCTTAATTCATCATCTATCTAGTCTGGCTTGAATTTTACCCAATGTGTATGCATTTGCGTTAGTCTCATGCTATTTTTATTCACTTTTTCTTAAGAAGGCAAAGCTGTTAGTTGCTTTAAATTTCCAAGTTTGTGACCATGACAGGAAACTAGTTCTACAAGAGCAGAAGCAGAAACCATTGCTGAACTGAAAAAACAAAAAAACAACAAAAAAAAAAAAACTTAGGGCAACAGTAAGATTGAAAACACCAGAGGCTCATCAAGTTGTATATACAACAACTTAAATTGTTATTTTCAGATTTCCTGGAGCTATTAGTGCCCATGTGTCAGCAGTCAGCTCTAGAGTGTTGTGTTTTCTGGAGAAATCGTGTCTGATGACATGCTAAGGTTTTGTCCCCTGTTATGTGCCGCTTCATCTGGTTTGTCCTGCTGAGCCATACGGTTGTTTTATGTCTGTGTTGCTATAGATGTAATGTACTTGTCTTATCTGTTGATTATGTCTATTGTTTAAAACAATAGAGCAAAGGAGACCATCTTTTCAAGGATATTTTATCCGTGAAGGAGAAGCATCAGAGAGCGGCAACACGGACAGTTGAAGAAAAAGTCCAGGAAGCAGACAAGGTGTTCACCTTGCATCCTTGGATCTCCGCTTGCTTTTTCCCCTTTTCCTCGTACTTCTGTCCACGGCCATGGGATACTCCTTTTTTCTGATGTATCAACCGAAAATGTTTTTGAAAAAAAATTTTCAAGCATTGAAAAAATTTCATTTCTGTGCGTAGAAAGAGGGGATCACTAGTGAGAAAAAGCGCCCTGCAGGAGTACTTTATTTGGACATTCCACAACTTAAAAGGCAGACATATCAACCAGTTTGGGTGGTAGATGACCCCTGATTTTGATGTATGTGGCTGACAGTTGGGAAACCATGATCTCGTGTGAAAATGCACCGTTAGTACAACACTTGTTTACGCTGCGGTGGTGTTAAACTAACACATTACGTGTGAGGTAGGTTACTGTTTTACTAACGACACTTGGAAGCCTTGTGGATTTTCATTTTTAAGCTTTTTAACGGGAGAAAAGATTTGGTGTCTTTGGTGCAGCCCCTCTGATCTCTGCGCTCCCTACATATATGAAATATCTGATACTACTTAAGGAAGTTAGCTTTCCATTGCTTTTACATTCTTAATCTTCTGTTTCTACTAATTTCGCTTAGCTGGCTGGCCAGCTTGCTCCTTGCTGGGAATGTAGTGCTTAGAGTCCAGTGGGGGAGATAGGAGATCTGTTAATTAGGAATTAGAAACTCTAGGGTACTAAGAAATGAGTGTTAAGAAGATGAAATACAGTGCTGTGTTACAAGGTGATGGGAAGGCTGCTTTGCTCTTGTGCTCAGGAAGAGATGGCATTTGAGTTGAGACCTTAACAATGAGAAGGGGACAGACGTGTGAAGATTCTTTTCATGTATAAAGAAGAACAAACGCAATAGCCCCCAGACAGGAACTAGTTTAAGGAACTGAAAGGCCAAAGGCCAAGGGCTTAGGAAAAGTCAGGTCAGAAGGTCACTCTGGATCTTAAGGACCACGCTGCCAATTTGGAATTCGAGTAGGAGTGATGGGAAGTCACTGGAGAGCTTTGGGCTGGGCAATAACCTAGTCCCACTTGGGGGACAGAGATCTCTCTGGTGCTGGATGAGGAATGGGGTCGTAGGTGGGTGTGAGTGAGAGCAGAAATCAGCGAAAAGGAAAATGTGTTCCTGTTCCACAAAGTCTGATTTTGTTAATCAGTAGACCGTAGCATATATCAGGACATACAGTGAGAGGAGGCAAAATAAATGGAAAATGAAGTCTTGCCCTAAAGGCATTGGAGGTGTAGCTGAGATGAAATATTTCCAGAGCACTGCAAATGAGAAAGATAATGTCATAAAGCTAAACCAAGTGGCATATTTATATACTTGAAAGGTTAACCTGAAATCCAAAGCCTGTCAGACTCTTCATGTAAAAATGACTTTAATATCATATGCTGTGAAATATTACATAGTTTTGAAAATTTATCCTGCAGAAGCGAGTCAGATGGCACCATCTGATCAACTTAAAATGATGTCCTTTGTACTTTTGGCAGTAGGAAACATTGGGATTTGGGTGAAGATGTTTAAAATTACTGTTTTCCTGGCTGTCATGGTTTTAGTATTGTACAATAGAAACCATGTACAATGGAAATCATTCACTAATTGTTGTAGAACTTACATTAAAATGATCTTACGTGAAATTTCAATCTGGAATTGACCCTCTTCCACTCCCAAATGGTTTATTTATACTTGAAGTGTGTGTTTTTTTTTTCTTTTTTCCTCTCTAGCATGTGCAGGAAAATATATTCTTATTTGACATGTACGTGGATGGTTGTAACTACAGTCATCCATCCACCCAACATTTATTGGCCACTTACATTGTAACCCCCATCCCCCACCAATAACATTTCACTACCATTAGTTGAAAGTGTGTGAGCAGTTAAGTGTACTGGAGTGTTTGGACTTTTAACAGAATATCTTTTCAATTTGTCTTTGCAACATCTTCATTTTGCTACTGATTTTGTAGGGTTTCTTGATTGTCTTTAAATTGTAATCCTTAATGAGTGTGAAATAAAAAGTTATGCAGAAGAGCCTTAATTTGACCAAATTTTCTAAATTTCTAGAATATGGATTTTAGAGATGAAAATAAAAACAGTTCTTGTCTAAAAATAAATACAGCAAGCTTTCAAAATGACTTCAATTTGAATATGATTTTGGGAGAAAGCTGGAAACCAAATCACTTAATGTAATACATTTGCATTTAGTAAATAACGATTATATATCCTCTTCTGTAAGAATTATATGCTTGTATAAAAAATTCTCATGAGTCCAGTAGAGATTCCATAGACTGTAGTTTTAAGGTACTTATGAAGATATTTTATTGAATAATTAAATGCATGGCACTTATTTGAACTCCCCAGTGCTCTCTTACTGGGAAGGACACTCTCTACCCACCTGACCCAGAGGGATGGTGTAATTACGGAGATTGTAATTAAGCTGAATTAACCTAGAAGATGTTTTTTCTCTCCTGAATATTGCAAGTGCTTCTGCACCACACCCACCTCATGTCAGTGTCCCTACTCCTCACCCTTCTTAGTGTACTGTTTCAGGGGGCATCTCAGAAATGCCATTCATTCATTCATTCATTCATTCATTCATCTTTAAGCTCTCGGAGCACTCAGGTTTTTGAGGAAGCATTCTTACACAATTTTGACGTTCGCTTTATGGTGACTCTTTACTGTTGGCATTACAGGTACCCGGGACAGTCCCAGGCTTTCCTGTTGTGCCCTCACACAGGTTAGGGACTCCTGTTTAAGGACCACAGTGTGAACATTAAATGTGCCTTTGTGGTTTTTCAGGGACAGGTGATTTTCATGTCACTCCCTTGAATTTCCGCCTCTGAGTCTGTCTTCCTGTTGAGAATTTTTTTCTTTACCTGGTTCTTGCTGAACAAAGCAAAGCACTGTTTCTTCATTCCATGGCATATTTAGCGTGTCTAGGGATTTCCATGGGTTGCTGTCAGAGCACACGTTGTACAGACCGTTCATATGGTACATCACCCTGGGGGAGCTAGCGTGGGCAGGGAAGGCCGTGCACAAGACGGAATGTCAAGTGGACCTCAGAGAGATGACAAAATTAGCAGGGCCCAGTGTGCCCAGGGAGGCAGGAGGGTGGGGGTCATTCAAGCTCTTACACAGGAATTCGTGTTGCAAGAGTAGGGGCCAGTGAGGAGACCGTTCTGTGCAGAAAGAGGCTGACGCCGAGTAGCTACTTCAGGAATACGTGAAAGTGTTCGGTGTGTGGGTAGATCGGTTGTGCTCAGTTTGTAAATAAAGCTTCAGTGATAAACCAAGGCATTTGAGCTGGTTCCCGTAGGTTAGAGCTATCAGAATCTCAGAGTGGAAAGCTGGCATTTAGGCAAAACGCCAACATATGCCTGCTGGAATCTCGCAGAACCCTCGCCTTTCTTTCAGTTTGTGCTGTTCTGTGATTCTTTCTTGTGTAACCTTTCCTTTCTTTCAATAGGTCACTGCTGTCTGTTCTGACTTATTGTTAATTCTTTGCTCTTCCTTTTCTGACCTCTCTAGAGCCTAGAAGAGGAGATAATGTCAATTTTGTTTAGTGAAAAGGGCTTTTCTGGTAGCATGAAAGCCACCTTCACCTCAGCCACCACTTGGACAGCAGAGGGCACTGTTGTGAGCTCTAATGCGCCTTCTGAAAAGCTTTCCTCCTCGCCCTTCTCACGGTTGCCAGAGGTGCATTTTACTTTGTTTCCCCTGTTTTCGAAAGCCACATATGAAAAGTGATTTTTATTTTTTGAATATTTAGGAACCCCTCTCTCCGGTGCTTTCATTGGTAAAATTAACTCTTCCTGGGAGAAACATTCAAGAAATAATGACTGAATTTGGACATGTGGGAAAACTGTACAGATTGGATGTTTCTCCTGCGGCTTTTGGTTCCCTGCCCACCCCCAAAATCTGCCTAAATTCAGAGAATCCTTTAAAACCACTAAGGAACAGAGTCTGAGTTGTTTTGTGAAAGGAACCCCTCAATCTAGTAGAAGCTAAGTATGTTCTGCAGAAAAGTTTTTAAAGCCTAAATGTCTTTCAGGCATCTTCTGATGGCTGATTATTTTTTACCATTCTGCTTATGTCCACAAATATGAAACGTTTGCCATTCTCAGTGAAATAATTATTTTCATTTTTTGGAATGACCCTAAGAGATTCCCTGAACTTGGGCAGAACTCATCTGGCTGTCTGGGGTTAAATAATAATAATTTACTGACCTGGCATCACAATAATGGAATGTCTGCTTTAGAAATGTTCTGATCACTGGATATCTTTACTGATAAAGAAGTTTATAGTTACAGTTCAATGTTATTTATCAAAAGAGTTTCAGAGAGTTCCAGTTTAATATCTGAAACCTCTGGGTTTTCCATAAAGCTGGGAGGATATCTTTTTTTATCTGTCAGTAACACAATTTTTACATGGCACTAATTTGGGGCAGTGAAAACATGTCCTTACTATGCATCTAAGAATAACAGCACGGATCAGAGAGAGTGAGTATATCCTGATAGGTGCTGTCAGAAGTGTGCCTTTTTAGGGCCTTTTGCTCATGGTTGTTGTCCACATCCCTGGTGCAGATAAATGTGGGATGCTGCTGTCTGTTCTAGGAAACGGCTCCAACCCAAGTAGTACCTTGGTAGCTTCGGAACGGGGTTCACATCTGCCCCGATGGTCCAGAGGCGCACTGCCCTGCTCCATTCAGCGTGGAGATACCATCTCAATAAGCAGGGCTACTGTCTCTAGCAAAATTACTTTTAAGTTAGATCACAGGCTATCATGTCACCTGAATGTTAAAAAGCCTAGCCAGGCTTCATTTTTGCCCATGCAGAGTAGCCATCACCACCCTCCCCCACCCCCCGTTTTAAAATAAGTTTAAGGAAAACCGTAAGCTTTGAAAACTCCTTTGTAAGAGTTTCTACACTGGTGATTATAGACCTTTATATCACTAATGTATTTGGTCAACAGGCACTTATTAAACATTTAGGTACTGTACTACTTAATTAGAGTAAATTTACTCCCAAGAGGTAGATGTCTGCAGGGGACAGGAATACATATCTCCGATAATAAACTTGGTTCATTTTGGTTTCCAAAGATGCTAGTTGGAGGAGTTGAATTCTAAGAAAACATTTGGAGCCATCATTGACATCCACCCTAATGTTAAAATATCCCTTTTGCTAATCTATAATGTAGTTGGGGAGGTTAATAACCATTTCTGAAATGACAACATTTTTATGTTAATAGCTATGTGAGACCCACTATAATTTTGCCCATTATAGCTGTTTTTTAAAGGAGCCAGCAAAAAATAAAGGTGCCGTCTCATTAGTGCTATATTCATTTAGGAATCAGGGTTTCAGGCCAGGCTTTATAGTCAGATTAAAGTCAAAACTGTTTATTGAACAGGTTTTAGAAGTTTCACAATTTCCACTTTAAAATAATCAGTGGGCTTTGGTACAATTCCGTTTTCCTCTCTACCTTTTCGACTAAATAAGTAGAGCTTACAGGTATAACCATAATAAAAAGCACTTTACTTCTTTGGGAGGATGCTGGCAATTTTGTGCTTTCGTTTCCTTTCGTAAGCTTTTTGCATTTGTGTGGATTGTCCTTCACGTGACCTTGAGCAAAGGTTTTTGTCGCTGTCGATTCTCGCTGTTCTGTCCTCGCGGTGTCAGATGTTTGTTTTGGTGGGTGTTGCGGTGTAAAACTTTATTGATTTGTGTCCTCGGTTGCTTTTTGTTCCGCAGAAACGCGCTCCCGAGTCAGAAGGGCCTTGCACTGGAGCCAGTGATGCTGCTAAGGTTCTCCCCTTTTCCATGTTAACACCATTGCCCGATGTTTCCGACTCCCCTCACGTTCTCCCCGCTTCCCTTTCAGTCAGCCATCATAATCATCTTTTGTTTCTCTCCATGCCATGAACCTACCATCAGCTAACTTTGGTTTCCGTCGTGCTTATTTATTCATATATTTTTGTTTCCCCTCATCCGTTTTTTTTTTCCCCGTACAGAGTTCACATGAGACTCTGAATGTAGTGGAGGAGAAGCAGCAGGCAGAGGTTGGGAAAGACGAAAGAGTAATCACAGAAGAAATGAACGGTAAAGAGCTATCACCTGGGAGTGGTCCTGGGGAGACCCGTAAGGTGGAGCCTCTGACGCAGAAAGACTCCACCTCCCTGTCTTCTGAGAGCAGCAGCGGCAGCGAGAGCGAGGAGGAGGAAGACGTGGGCGAGTACCGGCCCCACCACCGTGTGACCCAGGGCACCATAAGGGAAGAGCAGGAGGAGTATGACGAAGAGGTGGAGGAAGAAGCCGGCCGAGCAGCCAAGGTAGTAGAGAGGGAGGAAGCAGTGCCAGAAGCCAGCCCAGGCAGACAAGCAGGTGCCAGTGTAAGCGCAGTAGAAACAGTGATCCGGGAGAAGGTAGTGGCCCCAAAGCTATCTGCAGAGAAGAGTGTAAACGAAGGCGCTATTAAGCAAGACATGAGCGAAGAAACAGAGGACGAGCAGCATAAAGTTAACGGAGAGGTGTCTCATGTTGACATTGATGTGTTGCCACAAATTATTTGTTGTTCCGAGGTAAATGGGAGACCCCGAGCGGGGAGCTAAACTCTAGAGCTGTTTCTCAGGTGGAGACCACCTGCCTTCCTCCTTCTCCTGCCCTCCCAATCCTCCTCCTGCTGTTTTCAGCGAGATTCCGGGCTTTGTCTCTCCTGGGAGGACGGGGGAAAGCACTGCTTTGTTGATTCTCTGCCAGCTCGGTTCGTGGTTTCTGGCTTCTTTACTGCACCTGGACACACCTGACACAGTAAAACTTGCCTCCAATGGCCACACCATTCCCCCGCCGCCCGCCGCCCACCCCCTCGCGTTCCACATTTAAATTTTTCTTTGCATGTTTTGGATGTTTTCAACTGTTTGTCTTTAGTTGCACTGCTTCCTTGTGCTAAATGCCTTTTTCGTTGGTTTAATGAGAAAATTGTATACGTATCGTTGACAAACGGTCGGTGTGAGTGTGTGCGCGGCTGTTGTCATGATTGGGTTTGGCCTTCTGGCTCGTTCTCCCTTCAACTTTAGATTTTTAGCGATGGCAGCTGGTTCTGATTACCATGGTGCTCTTAGTTCAGCATCCGGCAGTGATGAAAAAACATTTCTCGAATACTGCTGTGATTGCTGGTTTTAGATTCCTGGGATTGTGTGGATCGGTGAAGAGCATTTGCTTTCCTTGTGGGCAGCCAGAGGCTAGACTGTTCGAGAGGAGGATCCTCTCCTCATTCTGTCCTGTCCTCCATTCTGGATGATTTGCAGGTTGATCATCTGTTTTATCGATTATCCACATTGGATAGGAGTCTTTAACATTTTCTCTTCAAGAAAGAGAACTTTCCACACTCCTGGTAGATTAAATCTTGGTCATGAGGTACAGTGTCTCTGAATTGAGAGTCGAAGTTACACTGAGGGAAGGTTTGCGTCCATGAGACTTTCTCGATTCTAAAATTAAATGCCCATGATGTAGGCATTATCCATATTTGCTTTCTCTGATGGGCTGGAAAATAGTGAAGTGACTTTGTCTTGAAATAATTAATTGGATTTTTACTACGTTACTTGTCAACCTCCTGTTTCACTTCAGAGAAGACATTTCAAGAGCCTTCAAACACTCTTATTATTTTCTGCATTTAATAGATGGTTGTTCCTCTTTAAATTATTACATCTGGGAATTTTCTCTCAGAAAAAGAACTGTAGTATTTTGGTAGTAGTATGGTCTGGTGTTGTATTAAACATACATGCTCTGCAGACTACAATGCTAACAGACCGTGACCCTGTTCTTTAATGTTTTAATTGTTCAGAGCCTTAATGCCATGTTGGCGGAGTAACTCCAGATATAATGTCTTAACTTATGTAACACAGAAGAAGCACTGCGAGTTTTAGACAACTGTGATTAAAAAAAATCATACCGGAAGATATTCTTTCCGAAAGTGGAGTATCTTTGTCAGTAGAAGAGTCCTTTTGGGGGGAAGGGGCAACTCTTCATCTCCCTAACTGATGTGGCCATTAAAGACAGCCTTCACAGAAACCATGTGGTTCTTTAAAACGCAGTAAAAATTGAGACCGGTCACTTCACATAGTTCATTCCATTTTGCTTTCTTTTCCATTTTATGGTAACTTGCCCCAGAGCTAAAGTATATATTCCATGCCACATTTGACATGTAATTGGGACCATGGTAACTTGAAGTGTACCATAATTTAGGGAGCCATTATGTTAGCTTATTCTTCATATATATATATATATATATATATATATATATATATATATATAAAGAATACACACACACACGCATGCATCTACTACGATGTTTGAAGGAAAGTGTCTTTCTTTTGTATCTTTTGTTTACCTATACTCTTGTGCATGAGTGCGTGTTTGGATATTTTTTTCCAATTATTTTTGAAGGCTCCATTGAACACTTTTACTTCATTACCTCTAGAATTTACTTTTCCCTTCCTTTCCACCTCAGCCACCAGTGGTAAAAACAGAGATGGTAACAATTTCTGATGCCTCACAAAGGACAGAAATCTCCACCAAGGAAGTCCCTATTGTCCAAACTGAGACCAAAACCATCACATATGAGTCTCCACAGGTACAAAAACTCTAGATTTGGACTCTTTGACTTCTTTTCCTTTGATTCTGTTTTCATTTCTCTTCCAGTTTACGTGTTTCTGACTTCAGTGTAGCTTTCTGTATCCCCGGCTCGTAACTGTGCTTCAACTACCTAACTTGCTATATATTGCTTCTTAGATTGAGACCGAGAGCTATAGTCACCAATGTAGATCATTATTGGTGATCCAGTAATTACAGGGGGAAGCATCCACACGATTATTTTAGGACAGGCAGTACCTGTCTTGTTCATATTATTATAAGTCATTTTGGGAGTCTTAACAAAGTTTATTGGATCTGATATAATTTGTGGATTGGTAGAAGTTAGGTCCTCCCCCCCCCCCCGCCCCGTGAAGATGGATCCAGTCATCCCATTCCTGCTTGCCAAGTCCACATACACATCTGAGCTTCTCCTTCACATGGGTTATTTTCTGAAGACATGTTGTTGATCTGTAAATATGATGCTCTGTGTCCAAATAATTACCAGACTTGTGTTTTTAATTTTAGGTAGCGATTTAGAAATTGATTCTGTAAAGACTTGAAATAAGCATTAAGATGTCTAACCACAATGGTAACAAAAAAGGGGAAAGTGTTCATCATATCAGAATGGAACTGTTTCTAAATTTGTACAACTACGTTCTTGACTGAGAAATTCGGTGTCCTTTGGTCGGATTGTACCATGGGGGAGGAGGGCAGGTTATGGCCCTCTCTCAAAATATTTTTTGAAAGGTTTAATTTGAGTGTGTTTAAATATTCCTCAAAATTATTTTTATATCTGTTATCCACATATGTGCATAGGTCCATATAAGCAAAAACAGGTTTCTTATGAATGGGTGCGGTAGGAGAGCATGTACTTGTGTGTCTGTAGTATAGTGAGAGGCCTAGTAAATACAGGTGCATGACCCAAGTGTGAGAGAAATTTTCCCATAACTTAGAAAGGCTCTGGGCTTTCTGGTTATTTCCTTGTGTCAGTGTCAGGAAGGGAGACCAGAATGGTGGTCATCACATATACTCATAGGCTATTCATTTGTTTCATATTTTTCCTGGTAAACTCTAGAACTTTCTACCATTTTTAGTATCAAAGGAAACAAGTTAAAACCTATTTAGGTATATGCAGGGGATTTATATATGATATAAATAGAGAACATGCATGCATACGTGTTAAAATATACATACCCCTATATATGCTCATAACAAATGATTACAGGAACAATGTCATTTAGAACAATCTACTAGAGATAAGCAAATAACCAAATCACGTAGGTTTAGTCTATCCCAGTCAGGTTCTGTTGCTTCTTAAATAAGAAAACGTTTATCTGTTTTTACCTGCCTGTGCTTAAAAAACAATGAACTCAGCACTTCTGGTCACTGTGGAAACTTCTCTGTCTGGTTCTCTAGTTTCTTTTTCTGTCTTCTGCAAAAGGCCTTCAGTCAAATTCTCTCCTGATTCCCTTGTAGCTTTCAGCCCCATTTTCTATGTGATTCTTCCTTTTTCTCCCTCCCAGGGTTTTGCTTCTCCACGTGCGTTTAGCCTTTGCGTTTACTCTCTTTGAATGCCAGCCAACCTCCTGCTCAGTAAATCTACAAAATGTGGCAGATAACATTTCCTGCTGATCTGGAAGATTTCAAAAGATGCACATTCGATGGGCGAGGGGGGAAGCTCTTCTCTGACGACATAATGGAAATTAAGTGTTACTTTATATTTTTCCCCCTAACTGTCCAAAGATTGATGGCGGGGCTGGTGGTGACTCGGGGACGTTACTGACGGCACAGACCATCACATCTGAGTCCGTGTCGACGACGACGACAACACACATCACCAAGGTAAAGTAGCCCGTGGTGGTACATTGCAAACAGGATCTTTTCTGAATTGTTTCTTTGTTCCCATACACACTTCACAATAATACGCAGACAGTGCCAGTGGAGTAAAAATGCTTGGATTTAAAGTATCTGAGAAATTGGGCTCCACTGACAAATGTAGTTCTGTAAAGTACAAGGAGGTAAAAATATGTCCTGAATAACTATACATGAGACAGCTACAGGAGCAGAGAGAGAATGTGGTCCAAGTGGAGGCGTACGTTTGACAAGTACAAATCAACCCTCCTGACTGAAGCAAGTGAATGAATACCCGTCATTCAAAATGTTCAGCAAGTTGTTCAAGTAATCGAATCTTCCCCTCATTGATTTAAGATGCTCCTACCGTGGCTAGGGAGCATTTTGCCAGATCATTCTCTCAGTCTCTAACACCAGATGACCAATGATTCTTAAAGTCTGGCTCCAGACTAGCAGCAGCAGTCATTCCTGTGTGAATCCCGTGGCCCCACTCCAGATCTGCAGAAACCCTGGCGGTGGCTGTAGGAGCCCTCCAGGTGATTGTGATGCGTGCTGCCGTCCTCTGATTTCTAGCTCCAGCGTGATTTTCCCATGTTTCCCTCTGCTCCTACCTCTCATGTTTCATTAGCGCTTGAAGGTTTTAAATGTATCTTTTATGCCTGTCTCACCCTGTGTTTCAACCAGAAACTTTGTAAATTAAAAAACGCCACATAAACGCAAGGTGGTACTGATGCTCATTTTCAAGTGTATCCAGGGGCACCTCGGTGGCTCAGTCGGTTAAACGTCTGACTCTTGATTCCGACTCAGGTGATGATCTCACGGTTTGTGAGTTTGAGCCCCATGTTGGGCTCTGGGCTGACAGTGCAGAGCCTCCTTGGGATTTTCTCTCTCTCTCCCTCAAAATAAGCTTAAAAAAAAAAAAAAACGTATCCAGTTATCAAGGCTACTGATTACCTTGGTTCTTACATTAAAGTGCTATGACTTGTGACTTAGTGTATAACTTAACAGAGTTGCAGAGGTTGGGTGTGTGCTTTCTCAGGACTGTGCGGTATTTGTTCATAGTTCAGCGTCACAGCCACATGATCTGTTCAGTCTCTATCATGTCCCAGGCTGTGCCAGCTTGTTCCAAGCCAGTCACTCTGTGGCAGTTCACACAGGACCCTGCCCCATGTCCATTCGCACAGACTTTGTTAGCAGACACAGCCACATGCAGAATCTGTAATCAAATCAACATTGAGTGAATATCTTTATATCATCCTCCTGTACCTTCTGTATCTTAAACCAAATCCAAGTCTTTTTTTTTTTTTTATTACTGCACTAAACCAAATGAACAGAATTACCAAATGGATTTGTATGACGAGAATCAAGCAGTCAAAACTATAACGTCAAGCAATTCTCAAACCTAAATCAAGTACCTAAATTGTTAGGATTCCTTGTAACTCTACATAAACCAAAGAATTATTTCTTCTTTCCTCCTTTAACAAGTGGGCCACTTGGGAGTAAAGAAATTCAGGGAAATTGTAATGGAATGTCCCAACAGAACTGTTTGGATTTCATGGCATCTGTCTTATCTTAATCTCACCTGAATCTTGATAAATTAGTTTTAAAGTTGCTTTCAGTTGAGGAATACTTACAGATGCTACCACTTTAACAATAGGAATCTCTATTGAGCTTAAAAATGGTGTTTCCAGAACATCAGTCTTCTCCACTCAGTGCACGTTACCTTAACGATCAGAAGGTCTGAGTGTGCTCCGTTCTCTTTCCCTCCATTATGTATAAACATGCTTTAATGATTGCTGTCTCCCCCCTTTAGACTGTGAAAGGTGGAATATCTGAAACAAGAATTGAGAAACGCATCGTGATCACAGGAGATGCGGACATCGATCATGACCAGGTAAAGACCTGAAGTTCTGGTTCTGAAAGTGACCACGTCTCTAAGTTTGGCATGTACCGTCACATCCTGTCCCTGTGTCATTCCCCTTCTCCCAGTGCCTCCTGGAAGAATCTACGTCCTCAGCGTGGCACTGATGCTTCCCACGCTAGACACAGCCTGTCCTTTCAGCCTGCCTGATGCTGAACCCGCATAGAACATGGATTTTGCTGCTTATTTCACACTGGCTTTACATGCACTTTTGAGTCAAAGTAATGGAGAGGATTCCCGGCATCTATTAGGTATTCATGTGGGCCTGGCCTAAAGTCAAATCATGGATTAAAGAATGAATGGCAATTCAGTGACATTGGCTTTCCAAAGCTAAGTAAGAAAAGCCACCAAGCTTGACTTGTGCCTACTTTCAGGAACTTATCAAGTGTTTTTCTTATAGCCTCAGGAAGGTTGGACTCTTTACCACTAGATGTTTCCCCCAGTCATTACTATTATCGAGGGGTGGGGGAAGGAAATCTGAGGTCTCTTACAAAGTGGAAGATTACATGGATTCAGAAAAATGTTTAAAAGAATCGTGCTTTCTTTCCAATGTTAGCTTGAGCAGAATGCGTGGCTTTAAAATCCAGGTGACGCATGGAACTGTTGGATACTTTGAGGGTGGCTTCAGTTTTAGGCTGCGGCCCCCAAGTGACGGGAGCTTTTTGTTTTGTCATTTTCTCAGTGATTTTAACTCCACTTTAAAGGAAACCAAGCTGTTTTCTTAATAACAACTCGCAGGAAAAGGAATGTTTAGTTGACCATCTTGGCCGGGGAGTAGGAACAGATGTTAGTTACCCAGCTTTGAGCACAATATCAACTTCAGGAAAGAGGATTTTAGAGGACAAAACTTCTCATTTAAAAAAAGCTCACTCTGTGATCAAAGAGATTTTCTTCCATGCCTAAAAAGAAAATGACATTTTTTAAAACCCTGTAAACACGATTTTACTTACATATTTCCTAATGTGTTTCTTCATTCCTCGAGAGCTATCAGTGGTTCAAGGGTTGTCCTGACCCCTGAACCTTGACTTTGTAATAGAGATTCCTAGTAGAGGACAATACCTGTGCCTGTTCTCCACGGGAAAATGAGTGATGCCGTGGAAACCAAGCTGCCAGTTCCCCAGACAAAGGATTTCTTCCCTTCACTGGGGCAGTCTCTCCTACCCTGTCTCTCCACTGAACTTGTGCCCTTTCAGACTTTCTGATGTCACGTGTTCCCTTCAAGGATACTCTCAGGCTTTATTTCATGTGTATTCTTTTGTCTTTGACCTGAAAACTCAAATCTAGATAATACTGCTTCTGAACAGCAAATAATAAAAACATGGTCTGAAATTTAAGTACCAAAATAACACCTATTCCTGACTCTTAGATTAGGAAAAAACCCTGCAGCTTTACATGTGACAGTAGGGACACGACCTTGTCGGTGTGATGTCGTGCTTCAGCCCATTTTAAACCCAAGGTCAGATACCCCATATGAAGAGAACAGATACTTTTTTGTAACGTTTTCATGTTTTAATTCCAAAATGCATAAACTTGTTAGAGTACATTTAATTGTGGCTTCTGGTATGCTTGTCACCAGAAGCTGATGAAGCTCCCTCTCCCGTTTAGCCTGTAATGAGACCATGCAAGTATTTAAAATTAGAGTGAAATCACTTCCCTGCCAAAAACTGAAACTGATCACATAGTGACTTGAATATCATTGACCCATTTTTCGGTTCCTTTCTGTACATTAAAAGAATTTTAATAGTGGAAAGAAACCCTTCCTCGGAGCAAGATAGAAAAAAAAAAGGAATCTCTTTTGTGTTGGCAGATTAAAGAGGCATGCATTTAGGACACTTGCTTTGTGGGTGGTGCACCTGTGTGTGTCCCGATGCCCCGCTGTGTACCAGGGACATAGGACACTGCAGTTACCCACCAGAGTGTGTTTCTTTCCAATAAAATAACTTCTTTTGCAGGATGATGTGAGATAGTTCTCTCACAATCTTTACTGTTGCTATAATAAATTAACATTTTACAGTATTTAATTTCATACACTGGTACTACAGACTGAACGGAACTAATGGTAAATGGATTTCAAATGTGCTTGAAGATGATTAAGCAGTTTTTGGTTTCCCTACTTTTCTGCTCATTGAAGCATGTTTCACACGTGCTCCCTTCCCTTGGGCATCATTTTCTATTTCCCCTTTCACATTTGTACTAGTTTAATGTAGGCAGACCTGTGTAAGGAACATGAATTAAAAAGTATCTGACAGGTCGTCTGTAGCTACGTTTGGCTCCCATCAGAGCTGTCCTTCTCCCAAATTGGATTCCAGAAACCAACATGGAGCAGACCGTTTTGATTGTTCTGATCTCTCACTTCCCTCTGAACACACAAATACGGAGCCACTCTGCTGTTCCCCGTCTCCCATCCCCTTTCCCATCGCAGCCATAGAGACACGGAAACATTTTTGACCTCCTCTGAGATAAGCCGCTGCCCTTCTCCCCACCCGTCTTGCCTTCCGGCCCTCAGACTCCCACAACCTGACAAACACTTGGGCTGCTCAAATCGGAGAGTCCCCTGGTTGAGTTCTCTCTTGCCCTGACACAGGTGGGTCACCAGTTTGTTCCCTAGTGGAAATTCGAGCACCCTCAACTGTCTTCCAAGCTTCTGTGTAAAAATTTTTGGCATAAAAACAAATTTCTTTTTTTGCAGCTTTACCTTTCTGTGTGTGTGGAATGAGGCTCGGGGTTTTGTTCAGTAACCTTTCAGCTGACAGAAACTGTACCACAAACAACAAATGTGGTTGTGCCCTTCAGCAGATGACAGAGAAACAGGAAAACTTGGGCTGCTTCTTTCAAAGGCATAGTGTCCATATGAGATATGGTGCTTTCCATCCTTGAAGGCTTCCCTTTCTGTTCCAGAATTCTTTCTTAGATTTTGAGTGGTGTTTTATGGTGTTTTACTTTCTCCCCAAGACATCTTTAAACACCTTTCCCTCAGAAAAATAGGATCTTTCCACTTTGTCACAACACTTGTATGCAGCTTGGTTTCTGATAAAATACAAAGAAACTTCATTTTCTCACCGTGCGGTCTGGGAAGAGCCTAGGAGCCAGTGGAGTGGCGTCCCAGTCTTGCTCCTGCCCTGTGGCCCAGCCGCAGGATGGCCTCAAGCACGACCTGTTGACCTTTGTGCCTTCAGTGTTTTCGACTGTAAACTAGAGACCTGTACTTACTGAAGAGTAGTCTCTCTGTCCTTTCACTTTGCAATTGTACGTTATCAGTGTTGCTACCGTTTTTATTGCTCTGTGCCCTAGAAGTTTATAGATCTTTTTCCTGCAACATAACAGCTCAACAAACATCTTACCTCAAACAGCTAGTGAGAAACCACAAGGGTAGCTTGTGGTCTAGTCTGGTTTGGTCTGGTCCTGTGTCTTGGCATTTGAGCTGTGTGACAGCAAGTACCCATGGGTGAATAGACAGGCTGTTACATCATTCCTCCAATCTGCACAGTGAACCTCAAAATGATCCTCATGACCTTAGCGTTAGTCTCAGGTTACAGGTGAGAATATGAAGATCAGAGAAGATCTGTTTTCTCCAAGTCTCGTGGCGAGTACGGGGCTGGGCTTCAGAGTCTGCATGTCTCTTGTACATGTATATTTGAAAAGACTGGGGGGGAAATGGGAAATTTGGGGAAGTGAGAAGCATTCTCTAAAAAGAATTATGAGCCCACTTAAAATCCCTGCTCCCTCAAAGAAAGCAATAAAGCCATCTTTGCTTGCCATGGAATCCCAGTTGATCAGCGTATGTCTGTCTTCCCAACCCGGGAATAAGCCCATTGCTGTGCTCACAGTGCTTTCTCCTGACTCTGGCAGGCGCTGGCCCAGGCCATCAGGGAAGCCAGAGAGCAGCACCCCGACATGTCGGTCACAAGAGTGGTGGTGCACAAAGAGACTGAGTTGGAGGAAGGGGAAGAGTAAGTAAGGTAAGCGTCTGTATCCTCTGGGGCTTCTGTCTTGACCGTTTGCGCTCCTCAACCCGCCGAGGGACGTGAAATGTACTCCCTCACGGTGTCTGTCTCCTGTGGTCCATGTGATTTTTTCAAACTTTATTATCCCAAATATATCTACTCACGTTACCTGCATATAGTTATTAACTCCGCCGTCCAATGGGCATGTAATGTTAATAACTGTCATGTACTGAGGGCTGCTAATAATTGACATTTCTATATCGTTTTACTGTTTGCAAAGTATATCAGTATAGGGGCGCTTGGGTGGCTCAGACGGTTAGGTGTCTGATTTCAGCTCAGGTAATGATCTCACGGCTCATGAGTTCAAGCCCTGCGTCAGGCTCTGTACTGACAGCTCAGAGCCTGGAGCCTGCTTCTGATTCTGTCTCTCCCTCTCTCTCTCTGCCCCTCCCCCACTCACACCCACTGTCTCCCCCACCCACTGTCTCTCTCTGTCTCTCTTGTCTCTCTCTCTCTGAAAAATAAATAAAAACATTAAAAAATAAATAAAATAAAATATATATATATATATATAAAAAAAAACCAAACCAAGGTATATCAGTATAGGTTGTCTTAATTGACATTTACGATGACCCTTTGAAGAAGGTGCTATTGCCTTCATTAAGATGAGGCATTTTTATTGTAGGGGGCACAAAAGGGAGATGAGTTAATTCCTTTAAATATACATGAAAAATTATATATTAGAGAATGAACCAAAAAGGAAAAGATTGCTTTGGCTATATAAAAAATTTAAAACCTAAACCAAAGTAGAAGATAAATGACAAAGTTCAATATGCCTGGCAGAGAAGGAGTCAATATCCTGAATATATTATGAACTCTTGGGTCTCATCAAAAAATTTAAGCATGTAAGTAGAAAAATGGGCCAAGAATTAAGTAAACCACATAGAAACTAAGTGAACAATAAACAAAAAATGTTCAGCCTCCCTATTTAAATCAATACAAATTAAAAATTTAGTGTACAAGTTTTCACTTATAAATCTGGCAAATTTTGTTTTTAACTAGTGTTGGGGAGGTTAAGAGAGGAAAAATAATAGTCCTGTGCAGCTTTATAAATTAGTAATATTTCCTAGAGAACAAGTTGGCAAAACCCAAATTAAAGGTACCTACCATTTAAACCATTGTTAAGAATTTATCTTAAATAGGGGCGCCTGGGTGGCTCAGTCGGTTCAGCGTCCGACTTCGGCTCAGGTCATGATCTCACTGTCTGTGAGTTCAAGCCCCGCGTCAGGCTCTGTGCTGACAGCTCAGAGCCTGGAGCCTGTTTCGGATTCTGTGTCTCCCTCTCTCTCTGCCCCTCCCCTGTTCATGCTCTGTCTCTCTGTCTCAAAAATAAATAAACGTTAAAAAAAAATTAAAAAAAAAAAAAGAATTTATCTTAAATAATCAGAGATGTATACAAAGATTTACTTACAAGAGTATTTATCATATATATGTATATACATGTGCGTGTGTATGTACGTATGTGTATATATGTGTGTGTGTGTATACACCCTAACCCTAACCCTATACACACACACACACACACACACACACAGTCACACGAACAGTCTAAATGGCCAACAGTAGGGATTGGTTATATCTTAGGCTGTTTCTGTGTCATGACTAAAATATAGCCATTAAAAGTTGTGCTAAAGAATTCTTAGTGAAATGGGTAAATGTTCATAATTATGTTTGTATTAGGGTTTTAAAAGGTAGGTTTTTTGCATAGCACATATACCAAGTTGCTTTTTTGTTTTTAAAATGCTTTTACACTGATCGGTTAATGGATACATACCTCACAGGAATGCCGGTCACAGAATACACCTCGTGGTCAGGCCAGTTGTCTTACACAGAAGTGATGGCTCCCACGCTTGCTCAAACTCCCCTCTGATATTTTAGTTTATACTGAACTAATATGAAATGACCTATAACTTTCTCATTCTTACTGATCTTGATGGATTCTAGATTCTAATCCTTTGTTACAAATTTATGTGTTGCAGATATCTTCGGGTTTGTGGTTTGTCTTTTATTTTAAGTAGAGGTCAATATAGTTAGTATATTGAATGTAGTTATTAATAGAGTTAATACAGTTTAATTACCACTCTTTTCTTTATGGCTTATGCTCTTTCCATACCCTGAGGTGTTAAAGATACTATTGATCAAAGCATGTTAATGTTGCCTTCCATAGATCAATCCTTAATCCATAAGAAATCGGTTTTTCTGTGTGATAAGAAACAGTGATCGTTTGTTTCCTTTATAAGTACCAGCATTCCAGCCCTGTTTATTGAAGAGCCCATCCTTTCCCTCTCTAACCTGCAGGTCATGTATCAGTTTTCTTGTATACGTGGGGATGTTTCTTGGTACTTGTTTCCTGTGTCTATCTCTGCTCCAATGCCATACTGCCTCAATTATTATAGCTTTAAATTTTTTTTTTTCAACATTTATTTATTTTTGGGAGAGAGACAGAGCATGAACGGGGGAGGGGCAGAGAGAGAGGGAGACACAGAATCGGAAACAGGCTCCAGGCTCTGAGCCATCAGCTCAGAGCCTGACGCGGGGCTCGAACTCACGGACCGCGAGATCGTGACCTGGCTGAAGTCGGACGCTCAACCGACTGCGCCACCCAGGCGCCCCCAATTATTATAGCTTTAAAATGAGTCTTGATATCTGGTAGGATGTATCTCCCAATTGTGTTTTTTCAAGTGTCTTTATTCTGGGCTCCTGGTGTTCCATATAAATTTCAGAATCGGATTGTTGAGTTCTAAGATAATCCTATGGTATTTTAATTGGAACTGCACCCACTTTGTAGCTCAGTATGGTGAGAATTACATCTTTATGATATTAAATCTTCTTTCCCACAAACGTAAAATATCTCTCTCCATTTATAGGTGTTCTTTGATGTCTTCCAACCAACTTGTGTTACTTTCTTACCCAAAAGAGGTCTTATGAATCTTCTCTAGCTGTTGCTGGTTTAGGAAGATACAATTGACTTTTCAATATTTGTCTTACAAGTTTTAATGTGAATTGGTCATATCAGTTATCCCTAGCACCTTTTACTCATTTTTTTCAGTGGGTGCATGTCCACACGTGCACACACGCGTGCACACACACACACACAGCCTTTGAAGTTTGACTCTCAGAGGACCTCTTTGTAAGCAGCCTTGTGAAACAGATTTAGGAGGTTAAAATGTAAATTCACGTGTAAGGTGAGCAAACTAGGTAAATTTGGAAAGATTCATCCATCCAGTCAAAAAAATCCTTAATGAGTACCAAAGTGTTCTAGCGTAGAGCTTAGGCACTGAGGATTCAAATTGTCAAATTGGTAAACAAAACAAACATGGTCCCCTTCCTCGGGAAGGATCCGCTCCAGGAAGGGAGGTACAAATATGAGCAAACAAAATGTAATTGCAGATGTGCTCACTGCTCTAAGGAAGTAATGCAGTAGGAGAGAGCCAAATATTGTAAATTTAACCTTTTACTTGAGAAACTGAGTTTGAGTGAAATCTGAAGGACAAATCGGAGTTACCTGTGTCTGCAGTCATCTAAGCATCCTCAACCCCCCGCTGGCTGCAGTTTGTTCTTGAACACTGCCCCTTGCCTGGTGCCTGTCGGGGCTGAGAGGAGGAGTGTGTCTGAACCCCTTCAGCTGCTCTCCACCTGCCCTGCCAGGATCCCACAGAGGCAGCCAGGTGGGCAGAGGCAAAGAGCAAGACCAGAAAAGAAGAAATAACTACCGATGATATATCTGCCCCATCTCCCTTTCTCAGACGCGAGCAGCGCTCCTCCTGATCTGACCCGACCTCTTCCTTTAGAGTAGCTCTGAGCTTTTGATCAAGCATTGAAAGTAGGGGAGAGGGGAGCAAACGGAAGATGGTGAAAGAGGAACCCGCAGAGGGCTGAACCTCCCGAGGCCGGCACTCGGCTGCAGGTTGGGTGGCTGTGAGGCAGAGAGGAGTGAGCACGGTCCGGGAAGAAGGGAAACACACAACGCATGGGGAACTTCACTACTTCTTTGTAACTTTTTATTTTTATGTTGTGTTAAGGACGACTCCCTCCTGCCATTTTATTCTAAATGCATGTTTCCGAGCCCTCAAATGGACACAAAATTTTAATGGCCTTGTCACCACTAGACTGGTGCTCCCTGACTGTCCTGATGAGGAGGAAGAGTCCCACTGGATGGTTTGGTCTGTGTGGCCTCAAAAGAATGAGCCCCAGGAGGGGGAGCTCGTGACTTTGCCTCAGCTGGCACCATGACCTCTCTCAGTCCAGACTTCAAACAAGTCCCCGTGGCTCCTGGAATAATCCCTCATGTAGGATAAAAAGCAGACAATGCCTCCTTCTCTTCTGAAAGCAGTGAGCAGCCAGAGGAGGAAATGATGGAGGAGCAGCCTCTCGTCCATTCATTCGTTTTACTCGCTTGTTTTCTTGTTTGTTACACCAGATCTATGGAACGCCCTTTGGGTATCCCCGAATGTGTACCATGGACTTTGAAATCAAACAAGTTCCGCATTCACAATAAATCATTATAGTAAAAGAGGGTCTCTAGTTTGAGGATATGTTCTGAGCTGAGTTTGGCGGGAACAAAAATCTGTGCATGAGGATGGGGCTTCTCACCTGAGCCTCCAGGAAAGTCGGAATAGCTGGATGAAGAAAGGCATGGAAGAGGCCATTCCAGGCAAGATCTGGTACTGTGAACCTGACCCTCTACAAAGGGTACACCATCAGGCACAGCTGGGTTGCAGGACACGTGTAGGAAGGAGAGTGATGGAAGGTGAGGGGGTGCAGAGAGGCGGAGGCCCAAGCATAGAGGGTCTTATGAGCCACGCTAAAGAGGCTAAGCTTTATCCAGAGAAGAAGGTGTGCCTCATGTATTTGAGAGATGGTAAGGAGATAGAGGCTTCTGACTTGGTGACTGCACGGGGATATGGAGGTTTGTGAGTTGGGAAGATTGAGCAGGGGAGAATCCCATGTTTCTG